CTCCTGGAGAGAGCGGCTGGCACCGCTGCAGGAGCTGCTGCTGACTGCCAGCGCGGAGGCTGGAGCAGAGCGAAGCTGCAAAAGCACGGAGGCGGAGGAGAGAGGCGAAAGGAGGACGCCGTCAAAGTCCTGAGAGTGGAGGGGATAGAATGAGGCGCTATTTAAGGACTCCACACACATTCATATACTGTCTCAATATTTACATTCTTCCACCGTAAGCCAGGTCAGCACCACTTCTGGCTCTGTGCTCGAGGCTCGGCTCGTTCCGCTATTGTTTATGTTCAGAAAGGTCATTTTGAGCTGAAGCCAGGAGTGCGTGAGTGAGCTGGGCTTTGGTTTGTGCATGGTTATAAGCTCCTTTTCCCTAGGGATGAAGCTCAGCCCTTTGATTTTAAGGGGGAGGCTTATACGCATTTATTTTTTTTTTTTTCTTGTTCAGTTTCAGCAAGTTTTGTTTGTTCCACCTACTTTGTTTACCGGAGTGTAGCTCAGACAGGCTAGCGGGTATTGTTGAGTTGTCTTATGTAAAGCAGCAAATAGCAATTATTTATATCAGCAAACAGTGTAGATTATTGTTTGATTAATTGCCTAATGAAAGTTATGCCTTCTGACATTTTCTCTCAGTTTGCCCTCTCATAGGAGAGAGATCGTTCAAAGGTCTGTCTGTAGGGCTAGGAATCAATCAAAAAGGCATTTGAGAATTGAGAGTCGACTCCAAAGCTTTGGACCCGGTTCCACACAGTGACGTACATGTTTGTCCGCACCCACAAGCACACGTCTAGACAGCATGTAGGAAAAATACATCCTTCCACATTGCACTCATCCGTAGACTGGCTTTGGACAAAGTGGAAAACAAAGTAAAATGGACAGTTTGTGACAGAATATGGCGTACAGTCAATATGTGTATGTATCTATGGTGAAAACAGAAGCCTCACTGCTGATCTTGCTGCCATGCTTTTGCGCAGTAGCAGCCATGCACACTCAAGGGGCAGTTTTTGCTGTTTCTCTTGAGTGGTGTGCCCTTAGAGTCCTGTATAAGTGACACTTGCTAAACATGAGAACTTTGTAAGACAGAAGAACTGCAGAAACTTTGCAGACGTTTTGCTGACTATAATCAAGCAACTTTGTTTTCTTGAGGTGTCAGCTTCTGTTACCTATGAACCCACGCAGTATTTTCGGGGGAATTGTTGAAGGTCTCGTGCAAGTAGGGATTGGCAGTATAGGACAAATACCATGACAATACTGAGATTTTTTTTAATGCACGATATGTATCAATATTTTGATACGCTCAGTGTAATAAAGTAGTGTAAAAGCAACTTACCTCTTGATTTTCAGAATCAAAAACTGAGAACATTGTTTGCGGTTAACTCCACTGATTCCCATCACTTGGGGCCCAATCCCATTTCACCCCTTCCCCTACCACTTAGCCCTTAGCCCTCCGTTTTGCGCATTCACGTCTAGGGGTAGGGTGTCCCGATTTTGTTGAGATTGAGGGATAGGGCGAAGTTTTAGGACTTCATGGCCCTCTAAACAGAGATTTTTCTGAGGCACACTCTAAACGGCAAGATGGCTGCCCAAACCCACAAATGTATTTTCTCTGTTAAAAGTTATGATAACCACTGTAATATCTTAATTTAATTACGTTTCCATGTATTATGGTCCTTTTCTTTTTAACAAACAAAAAATCGCTAATAATATGCTAATGTCATGGTAGCTAATTTCCCCGTTCCTCCTTAAATAGTGCAGCAGTACCGACGCCTGAAGCGCCAGAATGTAACTGCTGCTCCAGTTAAGGTGGAATGGGAAAACTCGAATAAGATAAGCTGGAGAATAGCTGACTTCAGCTTTGTATCACCAAATAATTAGGGGTGGGTGATGACAAATAATTATCGCATCCCCCTCTTTGAAGGCATGTGATTCCCTAAATGTAACTAAAGACCAGCAGTGAGGTCGCTGAACTTTACCCTCCTCTTCTGTCAGACTGGCAGGGTCACCTACAGAGCACTGATAACAGCCTGTTAATGAAGTAATATTCTTTTTTTATTTAAAGGTTCTCCCATTTTGTAGGGGAAGATTTCAACCACTACCCATTGGAACTCAGTTTCAAGGGGCAAGATGATGCTTGAAAACACGGGGTATGGGTAAAAACAAGAAATTGGATTGGGCCTTGGAATTGTAATCGGTAGCCTTGACAATGAGCCATTTGGTTGTTTTTTAATTTTTTTTATTTATTTTTTATTTTTTTCCAGACAACAGAAGCCTCATCATCCCATACGCTTAAGAGTATTCCAATTTGTTTTGTATCATATAAACATATTGATCACTATAGAGCACTTTAAGTAGCTGATGTGTTGGTCAGCTTTTTTTAAAACCAGCTGTTGATTAATTTTTTTGATTAAGCTCTATTTTGATCACTGTTGATCCAGTTTGTGTGTCTGTTCAGAAGTACACTCTTTGCGAAGAGCATTCATACAGTTTTCTGAAACATTTCTTAGCTGGGTGTTTTGCTGTGTTAAGCTTCTTGTCCCATGAAAATCCTAAACTTTGTTTGCTCCTGAACTTTTGTACCTTCGCTGAACTCATGCAGTCCACGTGTAGGTCAGACAGCCGTGCCTGTGTTATTAAGATGCATGGGTGTGCTCGTTCAGCGGCGCACACGTGGTGCTCAGCCGTGCGCTTTTCTCCTCTGGCTGGAGACTGGCCCACCTCGCCTTACCTCGCCTCTGCGCTCTCTGGCTCCTGGGTGCTGCTGGGTAATTAGGGGGGAGGGAGCGTCTGGGCTACACTCACCTCCCAGGCAGCGGCTAATCAAATCCCACTTCAAAGCTCAGAAATGTTCTCTCGCTCGCTCTGTCTCTTGCTCTCTCGCCTGCTCTCTTGCTCGCACACTAGGGATGGTGGAGAAAATCGATATATCACCATGATAATTCTGGGTGTTAAAACATTCACACTTAAATATTAATAATTTTTTAATTGATGCACTTAAAAGGACAACAAAATCCATTGTGTTCTTAGTTGACTTCGTAGAAAGCTTTTTTCTTTCTTGCTGGTGAAGTGTTTCCCTCAGTGATGGCGTTAGTAGGAGGAAGTCAGCCAAGAAGTATGAACTTCAGTATATAGAACAGATTGCTTTCTTTTGGAGGAAAAAATTGCTGTCAAAAATAACAAATTACAATATACCGTAATATCATATGGCAGTATTTAGCATAATACCAATCTTCAAAAATTTCATTATATTTGTATCATGGCTCAAGTGTTATATTGCATTATGGGCTTTTTGTCAGGATTTGCTGTATGCACTAGTTGTCCTCTATTTCTGCACAGTTAGTGCACAATTACTGTTTATTTGCTAAGTGAAACATATTGGGGGAAAAAAAAAACAATGTCGCATGTGCAAAAGGTATGGTGCATTTTACATTTTATGTTTTATTTTTTCCAATATGTTAAACTCAGAAAATAAATGAAATTGGTGCACTAAAAAGTATTTAAATTTGTTTTTTATTTTCTTAATTTCTTATTTTCACTTAGATTATCAACAAAACATGTAATTTGTCCAGTGGTGTTCAAAAATTTGTATATGACTGTAAATAAACAAGTGAGTGCCTCGACAGTAGTTTTACAGCAGTACAGTATTTTTTTAGTTTTTTCTTTTTTGGGGGTAAATAAAGCATCTTTTCCTGCTAATGTGCCAAGTTCAAGTTATTAAAGGTATAGAACAGTGTTTTGCAGACTGAGTACCTTGTTAGCACTTCACGTGAAGCCTGTCTATATAGATTTACGTAACACATGCATAACCATCAAATAACATATTAATAAAGCAGCCCTTGAGTATATCTGATCAGCTTATGCCTGTAATCACAAGATGACATTAGAATTTTTCTGAGGTAAGAGACATAATACTGCTCTTAAACTAAAGTGAAAGGCACTTCATTCCCAAGTAACAGAACATCGTGACATAGTTAACAGCACCATATTATGAGTTCTATATATTTCTACTGGAGTTAAAGTGCAGAAATTCAGTTTCTATTAAGGAGACCTGTGTGGGCTGCAGACATGAACAGCTAACCCTGTTTTGCATGTCTGCAGCCTCACAGGTCTCCTGATTAGACATTGTTCACCAAAATATCCATAATAACTTTTTACTTTTGATGCTTAACCCCTTCAGATCCCACCCTTATTACAAACTAAGGCTTATCATTCAGTAACTATATGGACTTCAATGCAAACTGAGCTATTTTTAAGTTATAGAAGTGTGTAATAGAACTTTGGGCCCACCGGCGGCCCTGGCCATGTAACAGGTCGATTACGTTTGAAAGCAGACACTTCAGAACTTTTGTGCTCAAGTAGACGTATAGAAAATATTTTTTTTTTTATGTGTATGTTAGAAAATTGCCACTGAAGTCAGGGTCATCAGAAACTTGTGTATGATGTTTTTACTAGACCTTTGCCTTTAAGTTCTATTACATGAGAAAGATGCTTTATAACTGTGTTACAAATAGAACAAATGTCTGTCACTTTATTTTGTGTCATTTACTTCATAAACCAACTTATGTCACTGGCATCAGCTGTTCATAAATATTCATGTATTGCTTTCTAAACGTGTTATTCAATGCTTATGAATGTGTTGTGAAGTCCCAATGCATGTAGCCTTCAAGTAAAGCGCCACCAAAGTCTCTAATGGCCAGTCTGTGTGCAAGACCAAGGCTTCCGAACATAAATTCAAAAGAGAATACTTATTGTTGATTAATTCTGGTTGGTATTTCAGAGTCTAGCTTTCTCCATGGACAAATTGAAAACAGCCCACTTCTATCAGAAATGTTCTTCATCAGTAGTTAAGACATCTGGTCATCTAGCAGATATATTAGAATTAACACATACACGTCTATGGCTTGGACGTCTGTTTTGCTGTTTCGCAGCATCTTGTAAATGTGTGGTATTGGATATATAAACATTGTTCTTCATAATTGTTCCACAAAGTTATTCTGCTTTTTGTTCCACAGATGAGGACGACGATGACGTTGAAGGCCTTGAAGACCTCTCAGACCTGAGTGATGACGACGATGATGACGATGATGCTTCAGAGGTAGAGGGAGACTCAGGTCAGTATTTTGGTTTTTGTTTATCACCAAGTACGACTGCCAGCGTCTTCCCGTTCGAACAGCAGCGCGCCTAGTCTGACTGTTAAAGTGGAAATACCTTTTGTTTTGAGGAGTACAGTATGCGTGTGTGCAGCCCTGTGATGGGGAATACAAAGTCCTTCACAGACGAGTGCAATTCCCTCTGGAACATCTCTCCGTTCAGGCTCAGGGCTTCTCCTGGAACTTTTATACAGTATTAGTGGGAGAAGCCTTTCATTCCTGCCAGGGTTTGAAAAAGCTGCACCTTAAAGCTTCACAGCTCCAAGACTGGAGAGAAGGCAGAGTCTCCAGTTCAGTGTTGTTCGCCTTTTGTTATCAGATGCAGTGTGAATAATCAGAGATGTTGACGTTTTGGAGCAGGTACCTTACTAAATCTGATTGCAGTATGAGGTCTAAATTTGAGTGAAGACACGAAAGGTATAGCTCAGTTACTGAGTTAACTGTCCAAGCTTGCCTCTATTGTAGTATGCTGAGACCTCATATTACATTTATTAGACCGCACACTGTTGGACATTACATTAGTGAACATCTGATGTTCTGCAGGGTTCCTGCAGATCCTAGAAAAATCTTATGAAGTCATGAAATAGATTTTTTTAAAAAATTAAGCTCTTGACGTGTCTTATTTTTTGCAGTTGGAGGTATTTAATTCTAAGCTGATACCTGAAGACAGAGTTGAAAAGACTCAGCATGTATATTAAACTACTTCAGAACAGTCTGCATTGATGAAGAGCTCGAGGATGCAGAACTGTTGAAAGTCTAGCGTGACTACAAACAAGGGAAAGAAAAAGCGTTAATAGAACTTATTAGAGAAATTGAAAGCAGGCTTCTGAGCTATGGTTCACAGTACGACATGCATTTTCTTGACGCATTTAACACTGCTTGGTATTAAACTACTTCAGAACAAATATCTAGCCAGCAGCAGTCCTATGGTCAGGAACTGACCATTGATGAAGAGTTAGAGGACTGTCGAATTGATAGTTAAACACACTGAAAAGATCGTGCAAGCAAAAAAGAGGTCGGTGTGGAGGTAGATGATTGAAAATTGAGAAGGGTACCAAGCTATGACATGCTATGCATATACTGCATTTCTAAGAGAGCATAAGTTAACACATGGCAGTCCAGTCTTACCCACACAGGGCCGGTGTGGCTGCAGGTTTTCACTCCAAACAAGCGAAAGCCCACCTGATTCTACGTGTTTAAATCAGTCAGTCTTCGTCTTCAAACATTTCATCAGGTGACCTCCTGCTTTGTTGGAGAGAAAACCTGCAGCCACACCGGCCCTTTGTGGGTGAGATTGGACGCCCCTGCTCTACAGAGAACACTACAGCACATTTTACTGCACAGTTACTGTTTATTTGCTGAATTTAACATATTGGGGAAAAATATAAAACATAAAATGTGGCCTAAAGTGACCAGTGAACCTACATACGTCTTCTGATTATATATATTTCTATGTTGATAATGGTAAAATAGTGTTAAATATATACAAAAAAAATGTTCTGTTCTGCTTTTCAGCGCTGTACGTGTATCTCTCTACATTTTAATATCAAAAGCTTATCAGAAAACTATTGTAAAACAGTGTCTCAGGCATCAGGCAGCATATTCTTAACCATTTCATGTAATAGCGTTCTGTGATTTAGCTTTTAGAGTTAATAAAATACTTCAGACTTCTGGTTCCCATCACAATTCTGTCTCACCAAGTATCTCTAGAACAGTACAGTTTGCATCAAACAACTTTGTTTACATTGTAGCGATTTGAACAGAGATTTTGAAACATCAGTGGAGTTTCGATGTAAAGTCTTGTATTTGTTTTTAAATGCATCAATCCTGGATTTTAATGCCAGTGAAATGTTATTTGCTGCCAAGTAAGACTATCCCTGTCATTCAGTTACTACAGCTTTCCAGCTTATTTCTGTTTTCTTTACAGATGGCAGTGAGGCAAAGGCTTCTACTTCTAAAGGAAAAGCACCGAAGCAGGTTTCTGGATTGGATCTGCAGGAGCTAGCAGAGGGAGATGAGGACGTGGTGGAAGACCTGGAGCTTTCTGACCAAGACTGAGGACCTCAATAAACCAGTAATGCAACCAGGGACTGGACATCCTGTTTGTCGAGATGCAGATATTCATCATGTGATTAAAAAACTGAAGGTTATTTGGCTTTTGCACAGTTCAGCTGGGAGCAGTCAACCAGACACCTGAGTTCAGGATTAAAGTTTCTGTATTTCAAAACGAAACACATGATTTAATAGGTATGGATCCAGTTTCAGAGTAAAACTTTTGTTCATTTTTTTACACCATTTCTCTGTCAACATTGTATGATATATTGTCTTAACAATATATTGTGAAATATGTACGTGGCCTCCGATTTTGTGGTTATGTCTATATATCTCATTTGATCAGTCAGAATATAGTCTCTGTGTTTGAAACGTCATTGTTGTGGCACTTCTGTGAATTCTTAATATATCACTTGGTGGATGAGCACCAGAGGCGCTTTGAGTGAGCAACTTGGCTCTGTTTAAACACACTTTTTAGAATTATACAGATGTTATACTTGGCTGGTGGAATCGACTTCCTTTCATAGAGTACTATATAAATCCAGCTAGCAGATGACTGAATTTATCTTTAGGTAGTATTTTTTTTCTCTCTATTCATTTTCAGTGTTTTTTCTTTGTTTGACAAACTCAGTTCATGGTCTTTCAGGCTGTCCCATACGTCAAAAGCTTGGACAGTTTCAACAAAGAGTGCAGGAACTTCATCTGAATGTAAATATTTCAGATAGTGATATTCTAATGCCTTTGCAAAATATAAATGTAATGTACTGCCATTGACATTATATGAAAAATAATACTACAGTGTTTACTATAGTAAATTATTGTACACTGTAGCACACTAAAGTAATAATGCAAAGCCCTGTATTTGTTAAAGAATGTACTGCTGCGTTTCGTCGCTGTCGGAACAAAACCTTCACTATTGTTTTTCAGTTCTTTGTGTGATTTTAAAAATGCCTCCTGCCTTTATATTGTGTAAAAATCATGATGAATGAACCAATAGAAATGGCCCAGAATTGCCTGGAATAAAAATTTTTTACATTAACTTTTGAAACTTATCCTGAAAAGTTACCATTTTCGAGATTTTCAAGGTTTTTGCTCAACAGCGACAACACACCACTGTGCTATACTAAAGCAATTAGCAATTAGAGGCTGTGCATCACTGCGATTTTATCCCTGTGATAAAGGAATGCACGATGCTGCTGGAACAAAACCTCCACTGTTGTTTTTCATTTCATTGCGTGATTTAAAAATGATTTAAACGTTTTAGAAAAATTGCTTTTATAAAACAGCGGCCAATGTAAAATATGATAATACACAGTTTTTCAAAAAATCAGTTATTATTAATAATAATCAACATAAACAAGTATTCCAGCAAGAAATGTAGTTCATTCAGAGTATTGTATCGTTGCCAAGCAACCATGGACCACTGAATAAGGAGAAAAACGTTCGGTCGCCCATCACTGTATATTGCAGTCTTTTCATTTTGTTTTACTTTTTGTTGTGTAACAATGAACATTTAAAAACACAGCACTGTTTAATGCAAAAACTTTTGCTTTATAAGAACTTTTTAGTCACCAAATCACCACCACAAGTCTTATTTAGCACCAATCCAGCGGCACCGCTCTTCTCATGCTAGGGCTGAATCTCAAATGGCTCCCTGCTCCCTACATAGTGCACTATGTAGGAATTTAAATAGAGCAAAATATTACCTAAAAAAAAAAAGTCATTTTGGACTCAACCACTTCCGTACTCGATAAATGATACACTATTTGGCTGTAGAAACTAGAATATCTAAACGTTCAAATCTAGCACGCTATTTAGGGATTACGGAGCCGTTTGGGATTCAGCCTGGGTTTGATGCTGTTTCTGATTGAAACACGGATATTTAAAGCGTGTAATCCATACGGGTGACATTTTTATACTGCCATTTTACAGTTTATCATACCGTAAGTACTTTAATTCATGCCTGTGACATTATTGATGGAATTGTTTAGGCTCTTGGCTCTTTTAGCCTGTTAGCTAGCTGACCAGCCTGGTTCTAGTTAAGAACATAAGTTGCCAGCGCCTCAGTGTGAGCCACATGACCAAGCTGGTTGCTCAGATATGAGCACGACCTTTCAAAAGTTTGGAGGGACCTGTCATGTTTGTAATTGCTGCTATTTTATAAAATAATACCTTAAACAGTGCAGTTGAAATACTGTAAGATAGCCACCGGAATGTATTTTTAGATATTTAACTCGATTTGACAACATCTAGAAGTTATAAAATGATTATATCAAGCAATTACTGTTAATAGATAATTACAATATTAGTGTCATCAGCCTCGAGATTTGATCAAACGTGAGGCCTTGTGGATTTTAATTTTATTATGACTCATAATATTCTCATTTTTATAAAGCTTTCTCAGTCAAGAAATAGGCCAGAGTTCTATTCATAATTCTGGACACATCTAAGATGTTTGAATTTTTTTATGGCTTCCTGTAAAGTTGTAGAGTCGTATCATAATCATTTTAATCATGTACCTCCAAAAATTGGCTTTATATTACAAGACAATTCATAGATTTTTTTTCAAAATTTCTGCATTACTCAATCACTGAGATGTAGGCCAAGTCATTTAGAGTGGCTTGATGTGAAATTGTAGAGAACCTTACTGTCTAATTTCTTTACAGTGGTGTTGATAGGAACCAGGGGTCATGATGTCTACAACACAAAAATAGCCATTTCATTTACTATCCAAAATGACCAGTGAACTGAACCTACACATGCCCTCCTGAGTTTTTGTATGTAATGTTGATGATGGAAAAATAGTGGTAAAAAAATGTATTAAAAAATTGGGAACTATTTTGCCTTAAAACACCATTTCACCATTAAAGGATTTTAAATAATTTTGTCAAAGTTGCAACAAAAAGTGATTTTTGTAATATAATGTAACATATTTGTAACCATTGTGTGTTACCACCACTGAGAACAGTTCTCACTCATTATTACTCAAACAACTCAACCACTTTGTTTACATTTTTATTAAAGATGTAATTTATTTACACTGAAAGTTTTAAGTCGGTGGACTTCCCCTTTCTCGAAAACAGTGATTCCAAACTTTTGAATGATACCAGTTGCTGGTAATATGATACTGTGATAAATTACATACATTTTTGGGGGATTTGAAAATGTCCTGTTGATGCCACTCTGCAGTGAGTGCTGATGGGTGGTATTGATGTGGCCTGGGCCTCTGCAGGCTGAGGGAGGAGGAGACTCAGGGCTGTCCAGGAGCTCCAGTCTGCCAGGCTCTTCTCTGATCTTCTGCCAACCTGCAGCACACAGGTGGGAGAGGGAGAGCAGGGGGGAGAAACACAGACCTGGCTGTTCTCTCGCCAAATTCTCTCCCCTCATCATTACTTTCACAACTCTTGCTGCTTCTACCCTTTTTTCTTACTGCCTTTTGCTTTTGAAGAACTACAGCAGCCGTAACCTTGAAAAACCTAGAGATGCTGCAGGACGTTAGGGAACGACTGCTCCTCTTCTCTAATTTCTGGGATGAATTCTTGGCTTCTTGCCATGTTGAACTCCTACTTACCAACTTTTAGACAGTGTATGCCTTGGAGATGGCACTAAACCTTAATGTTTTCCAATACCACTACTGAAGACTTGAATATTGGCTGATACCAACACCAATATATTTATTTACAAAGCTTTGAAATTAGCTCTTTTTAACTGAAATACTCCCGAAACTGAAATACTTCCAAACAGCCAACATAATAGAAACTGGCTTATCTTCAGGTAATAGCTAGAACCCACTGGGCCTCATTCATCAATCGTCCTTAAGAAAAAATTTCTTCCTCAAAAACCCAACTTACACAGTTTTCACGAAGTTTGTAATGTTCACCAATGTTTTCTTGTTTGGGATTTTTTTCTTAGGTCAGAACAGAATCTACACACACTCGAGCACAAAGGTGTGAACAGTTCTGCAGTTTTATACCATGCCTTGAATCTGATGCAGACTTTTTCTTAGGATCTTTCTCAAGAACAAATTTAAGAAAAAACTTCGGATATATTAGTGAATGAGGCCCAATGTTCTTCTGTTAACTACGTATCACTGTTGTCAGAAGAAAACCTTGTAGCTCTAACATGGTAACTTTACAGGAGAAGGAAAAACCTTCTTTACTTTCTATGTAAGTCAATGGAACCAGACTTTTTTTCCAAGTCATTTTGGGTCATTTCTTTTAGTCCTTTCTCATGAAATTTACACACAATGTAAAAGGCAACAGGTGGGTTCAAATTATGTCAAAAACTGAAAAATGGCAAAAATGGAGATACAAGGTTTTCTTCTGACAACAGCGATATGCTGTGTATCACATGACTTATTTTACTCCACTTTCCATCATGCTGCACTACATGCAGTTTTGTGATATCAGGGTCAGTTCAAGATTCAAGACAACTGAGGGTATAGATGAAGGAAGAAACTGAGAGGCTGACAACTTATTTCTTAAAAGCTAGGCTGAAAGCTAGCAGGCTAAACTGTTCCCTCAATAATATTCAGTGTTATGCTGTGAACTGAAGTGTTTACTGCAGGATTCACTGTAAAACACAACATAAAAAGTACAGAATATGAGGCTCGATTGTCTTACATGCTTCAAATGTCCATGTTTTTGGTAGATCTGCCTTAATGTAGAGAAAATGAATGTGTGGCATTGTTAGCTTGAGGCTAACACAACAAGAAGATATCACATAGACAACCACAAGTTAACATTAGCCTTTCAGGGGTAATTTGTTTAGCAAAGTAACACATATAGAGCAAAGGTCTCTGCACTAAAGCCTGTTATATTGTGATATTGTCATTATTAAATAAGAAAATATGAAAAATGCTCATGAAATGACTGCAGTATTCAGTGATGAGGGTCTTTTCCTCTATGGCAACAATAGCATCCTTTAAAAAAACTACATTTCTTGGTGGAGGAATTGAAAGGTTTTGTTCCCAACATGTGTTACAGACCACTTTCCACTTTTTTTTCATGCTATACGTTGTAAGGAGTGGCCGTTGTGCAAATTACCCCCAGGTGTTCAGGGCGTCCCATGTCGGCCGGCTAGTCCAGCATTGACTGCCTGCTAACACGCACCGCTAATGTTAGCTTCAATGTAAACAAAATGTTTAGGCCAACAATTTTTTTGGAAATGATCTTTTCTAGTTTGGTAATGGGGTCTTCCACATGTTACTTTATCGTACACATCTCCTCTTTAGCCTTTGGTTGGAGAAATGACTAACAATTCACTCTTTCCACCACATTCTTGGAAAATTTGGCAACTTTTCAGATTTACAAATATGCTACAGCAAATTGTAAAGTTTTTCTGAGGTGCCCCAGGTATGGTTACAGTTGGCAGACTATGAGGGACAAACTGGGTGAACCAATCTGCTACAGCGCCAGGCTGACCAGTTCCTTGAGTTTGTATTTGAGCGTCTGTTTTTCCTTAACTGACAGAATAACAAATTTATTTTCAGGGATTTTGAGACATTCAGGGGAATCCAAGAGGTTAATTAGGGAGTCCTGGACCCCCCAAGACCCCCTGCATTTGGCCTTTACGTACACAAGAAATATCAATGCCCTATTATGATTGATACCACATTTATTAGAGAGAAAATGGGTTTTCTGTTATGTCGGCTGTTATTCTTGGACATCTAAGATTGTCACAGATGGATATACAGCAAATTTTGGAATCTCTTTAGTTGTTTATTGTGATTATAATTAATGATAACTTCCTAAATATTTAATTGCAAATGTGTGTATTTTATCACATTTCATGTTGTCGCTGTTTTATAAAGCAATAAGCCACATGAGACCTTGTGTTAGTCATTTTACCACAGGTTACAGTTTTTCGGCACGTCGTGTTAAAATCACAGTCACACTTGGTCTCTCATGGCTTACTGCCTTATCTGATATGCAGTACAGGTGCTGCGTTTCTGACTGATGCTACTTCTAGTATCTTATTATACAATTAATGCTGTCACTGGGTTGCTTCCATATTTTCTGCACTTAAACATAGCATCCAGTTTGAGGAGTTACAGCTGAAGGTGCTGCTCAGAACCACAAGCAAAGTTCAAATAAGGACACCAAGAATGCGCTCAGCTGGTCAGCATTAGTGAACATTTTTTCACTGAAGATCTGGCACGCATAGTGTTTGTATGTGACTAAGTGTGCATATGAGTGACAGTCAACTTTACCCAGCTAAGCCTAAGTCTAAGCCCAGACATCAAGCATGGCACCTGGTGCTAGCAGTCATTGGCTAGTCGCTGGATGTCCCTGAAGATCAGAGGAACTAGGTGGGACAGTGGGGTCCCAGAGCCCTCGGCCTAGGACTGACCCACATGCTCTGACAGCTGTTGTTGACCCGACCCAACCCCCACCACCGCTCGTTTTCTCCCTGACCGGGGGATTTACCGCCAGGCCGGCCGGGCCGCCACTCCCTAACCCGACTGCAGAGGAGGAGGTGGAGGAGGAGGCTGGAAATAAACACATTACTCAGGAGGAACAGAGGGAAAAGCATCTGGAAGTTTTCCATAGGATTTATTTCACCCAGTGGTGAATAGAAAAATAGGATAAAGACAAAACATTGACGGAAAATCTAGAGACCGGTTTTTAATTCAATGCTTACGTTAAAAAAAAAAAAAGAAAAGAAAGAAAAGAAAAGAAAAGAAAAACAATGTCAAACATTTGCATAAAGAGCTTTGTGCCTTTAATTTCCCTGCAACAAAGACAAAGAAAAAAGGTATTATTCTTTGGGCGCCATTTAGAGGACGATTTATTTATACATTGTATTTTGTCAATCCAGCTACAACAAAAATTCCTATAAATATTTTTTTATCCCTCGTATTTATATGCTTAAGTAGCATTCGAAATGGGGACTCTTAATATTTCAACTGGAATACATAGCAAACAAAAAAAAAATCTTTGAACAAAAGTGCCACCAAGTCAGCCAGTCACATTTTGTTCAGTAATAAAAAATGCGTGCAACAACACTTAACAAAAAGTACCACTTATGTAACCTTCACTATATTCTCCTCTAAAGCATGTTGTTTTGTACAATTCAGCGTAACGTTCTCCCGAAGTAATAAATGTGACCTCTGAGCGACTTTTCTCCGTTTAGAGATCAGATACCCCTCGACCACTGAACCCCCACAGAGCAAAAGGGACCAGGAAACCCCAAAGTTTATTATTATTATTATTTTATTTTTTTGTATCTTCTGGCTGTTGCTTTGGATGATGGCTTTTGGTTGTGAGAGTGTTAAGTGCTCTGCATCTGTCTCTCCGGCTGAGGCCACCTCTCTTCCGCTCCTCTGTACCTTGCCTATTCATCACAGGTAAGCTGAGGGAAACAGTACAAGAACCAATGCTAGGTATCAGCTAAAATTCCACACGTCCGTTCATCTTTGGTATTGGACTGTGGAATGCATAGTTGCACTGATGAAGAGAGCAAATGAGTTCCTTTCTGCGGTTGTATTTACTCCTCTCCAGGAGATTCAGTTTCTCCGAACCGAAACCAGCTCCAGAGGATTGGAAATGGCTGGAAGCTGGAGGAAGAGAGCAGAGAAAACAGGAAAATTAATGGTCTTTTTTTTTTGGAGTTCTCCGTTCTGAAAGGGTCGGGTACCATGGAGAGTTCATCCCTGCACTGTCTGTCTCCCCCTGCCACAAAAGAATGCTGTGTTTGTGGCCGTCTCCCTCTCTCTGGCAGAGAGGTCCAAACGTTGCCGTCTGCTCGCGCTCTCCCTCGCACAGACGCTGTCGCTTTCCTGTCTCATCCCCACGGCCCGTTTGCTCATCTTTGGATTCGGCTTATTCGCAGCCACTGCACTGGGTGGAGCTGTTTAGGCTTGCATTGTTTCATCAGCGTTTATCTGTACAGTTCTCTCCACGTTTTGCCATAAAATGATAAGTGCCCCAGAATAAATGTCCTCAAGTTTGCTTGTTTTGAGTATTTGTTGGGGGGGGTGAGAGGAAGAAAAAAATAGTTCAAAGAGACCCCCTCCCCTCCCCTCCCCATCCGATCCACCATCTCCTTCTCCGTCTCCTTCCTGTAGCGCTGCCCCAGACCATACGGGGAAGCAGTCAGCGTTCTTTTTGTTAATGGACATCTCTATGAGAGAGCTTTAGTGGAGTCGTAAGACCCCGCTGAGGGGGGATTTCCGTTCTCCTGCTTGGGAGAGGCGCGGCAGGCCGGAGGCGCGCTGAAGGGGGAAGAGGTGCTGCCGGAGGAGGGCGGCCGGGTCTCCGTGGGCAGGGGGTCCCTGTCCGGGGGGCGCAGAGCAGATGGCGGCAGCGGGAGGGCCAGCGGGAAGCTGGTCATGTAGAATATTCTGCCAATGCGCCGAGCCACCTGAGGAAAGCAGCCACATGCCAGTGTTACAGCACATGCAAAACAGGAAACTCAAGAGAATGTAGTGTAATATACTGGATTAGAAAGGCTCTGATTCCTTTCATGGAAGGGATTCTTTTTAGGAAGGTTTTTGCCCTGATTAATGTACCTCAAACACATTAAAGGGGCACTCCAGCCAAAATGAAACAATGAACTACCAATTAATCAATTGTAAACATGCCTATTTGCCTCATACCGCAGTGAAAGAACAGTCCTGAGAGTGATATTTAACAGTTCAAAGACTAAGAAAACCCCCTTCTGATGATGCATTTTGAAGGTAGGAGGAACTTTTAAAAAACCTACAAGGGCTTTGGGGCAGTTATATAAGGGTGGGCTGTTTTATATGCACAAGGAAGCCAGATATTGAATGTTACTGCTAGGAGCCAAATTTCACATCTATATTTATTTGCCCCTACATCAGTGCATTCGAGGGGGATTCCCAATAGTTGTGTTATGTATTTGAGTAATGCATGCTGGGTATTGTAGTCAAAGAACATTGATGGACAAAAATGCTAAAAGCATACAAAATTATAAATTATGTCAAGCCAGTGATGCTGAGGGATGCTTTGCTGCTTTACAGAATAATACAGAACATGTAGCATAACAGATAACATTTTTTTGTCCAGAATACAAATACTTGATGTCCAGAATGCCCCTTTAAAGATAATAAGAAAATAGGCAAAATATGCTAGGCTGCTAATTACCTTAAAATGGTACATCAAAATCACTTCATTTTTTGCATGTGCATTGTGTCACAATATAAACTAATTTTCTGGGTACTTTTTTAGTACATTTGTATGACAATTGTGTCTTGATTGTAATGCTTTCATAGTTCACATTGCTCTACCGTGCAGAGTAGACCACTGTTTTGCAGCTTTGAGCTGTTTTTGTTTTTTGTCTTTACTGCATAGCGTAGGCTACTTTGTCGTTACTCTTACCACTTGCCAAGTGTGTCGGCTAATAGCCACACACTAAAATTTTACATGCTTTAATGAAAGATAACTAGCTTAACCACAGTCAAAGCACCGCCACTGCAGATATTATAAGTGGCTGTTGGACTACTTTCAGTTTCCTCTTTAAAATAGTTCTACGCTGCAGACATTTACACTGTTAAAGGAAGCCTCACTGCTATAAGCTGAATTATGACCAATTTGGTCACTTCTATAACAGATTGCAATGGCGGTAAAACACCCTCAGGAAATGATGGGAATACTCATACTCATTCATTAATATATGCCTTGATCTGACCATTCAGATCAGATCAGGACATCCCTGGTTCTTTTCCCCCACTTAGGACAAGCTGACAATAAAATCTCAAATGACTCAAACCTCGGAAACTGAGGGGCTTCAGTACCTGAGAGCGGATCTTGAGAGCTGGGCCCAGTTTCAGCCCCATGTTGTTGAGAAGGTGCTCCTCGGTCAGGAGCGGCAGAGTCTCGCCATCAATAGCCTGCTCTCGAAACACCTTAGACAAGAGACGTCACCTCAGTCAAGCGTTCCACATTCACCCCACAGACAAAAATTCCCAACTGTCGAGTCCTCATTCAGCATGCATGTGAGAATGCACATGGAGATGTGGTGGAATTGAGGATGGAAGGTGTGTTAAAGTGACAGATCGGTAAAAATCACATTAACACAATATTTCCTGTAGTCAATAAGCCAAGACAGGTCTGTTTCTTTGTATTGTAGTAATGAAGCTAATGTAGCTAACAAGAAATAAGTAGCTTAGTGCAGGCCTAAATCATCACACACTTGCCTCAAACCACACTGAGTTGTTAAACGAAAATAAATAGACTTTCTTATGTGGTTTCTGACACTGTATGACACAATGGTATCAGTAAAAATGGATAAAAGTACGCCATGTAGCTAAAAACAGAAATAGCAGCTATCAAGCTTGATTTTTTTATCTGTACTTTTGTCCATAGAGAACAGTGTCAGTTTCAAAAACAAAAGAAGCAAGTCTATTTGAGATTACTTAACAAATCAACACGGTTTGAGGCAAATGTGAAATGATTTTGGCATTCAGTTTGCTCATGCTGATTGCTAAGGCATGAGCTGCCATTACTTGTTAGCTACAATAGCTACTTAGCTCCAGTTTAAGTATAAAATATACTGCAAAAATATATCTTGGCAAGTAGAATCATCTTAAATCTAGGAGCTATATCTAATGTGTCTCATTTTGAGATTGTTGTAAGAGTATTCAACCTATTTCTAGACATTTTTATTTGTTTTTAGTCATTTAATCTAATGAAATGATCCTATATGAGGAATTCTGTCTCCATACCTTGCTGTAAAAACCAGCACAGACCAGCATGCATTTGGTACAAGCTTGTTTATGCTGGTCTGATGCTGGTTTAGCTGGTCACCCTAGCATGGTCATGCTGGTTGACAAGCATATCAGCGTCAAAACACAGCATATGCTGGTTTTACTGGTGAAAAGCAATGCTGATTCATGCTGGTTTGTCTAGCAGAGTAATGTCTTGAACCAACCAAAATTATCTGCCAATAAAGTAACACTCTTAAACAATCTCATAATGATAAATATTACATACATTTACTAGATTTAAGGTGCCTTTACTTACAAATATATCATTTTTTGCAGTGCAAACTTTAGACACCAATGTCTCTTGGCTGACTGACTACATTTGAGGTAAAGGGAAAATTGTCCAAATGTGATTTTTTGCCGTACTATCTGATTAAGCATGCGACGGGGCAGGCCTTTGGGATGTTGGTGATGTGTCATATGTGCGACGGACAGAGCTGTGAGCGAGACAAAGATAAGAGCAGTGCGGAGCGGCCTATGGCCAGCGCTGGAACAGCAGACTTCAAAGCGCGCTAGTCACCGCTAAATAGCTTACTAGTCACTATAACCACTGTGATAGCTACTACAAATTGAATTTGCAGCCCGGGTCTCCCCCCCCACCACTCCCTAAATGCTCTCCATCTCTCGCATGGCCCCTGTTGAAGGGGGCCTGGGGAGAGGAGGTGTGTGGCGCTCTGCTCCTGCTCTTGTCCTCACCTGGGTGTACTCTCCACAGCCTGCCAGGCTGCTGATGAAGCTGCACACCTCCTCCACACTCCACTTGCTAATGTCCTCCGCTGCTACCGCCGCCGCAGCCGCCGCCTCCTCGCCGTCCACAAACAGACCTCCCATGGCGCCTGGCAGCCCGCCGAGCCGAAAGGAAGCATAAATCATTAGAGAGAGAGAAGCCCCGCGTAGCAGCCCCTCCCCTCACCCACACATGGCTCTATTAATGACCCCGTCTATTGCAGGGTTCAGTAAGGGTCAGAAACAGGGCCTCTTCCTATGGGAGGTCCCTGCACTGCTGGCTCAACATGCAGGTAATGTATTTCAGATGGCTGTGACAGCGCTGGGGGAACGGAGGAGAAATACCATCTCCAGGAGCAGCTCTTAACCTTTAGCCGATTGCATTATGGAAGAATTAGTTATTTGGTATATCATCAATGTCATAGGAAAATATTGTATCTGGTAACTTGATGGGAGGAGCTGGTGTTTTTAAATAGAGTAAAAAAACAAAAAAACTAAGTTACAAGATTTTCATATCACCATAAATTATTAGTATAGTGTCAATGCCATAAGAAAATCTTATATGCCTGAAATGGTAACTTTAACATTATTCATTTTAATATGAGATCATTTAATGTAAGTTTTAGAGTATTTCTATTGATCCATTCATCAAGATTTATTCACTCAATGTAAAGGGAAGCTGGTGTTTTCAATTGACATATAAAATAAAAACTTAAAACAAAAAAAAGTTCTTTTTTTATTTTATTTAGTACTTCATGCCGTAAGAAAACATTCTTAACATCAGTTATTGTTTAAGGAAAACTTTTAACAGTTTTTTTCATTTAGGGTGAAATTGATCACACTATGTAAATAGCAGCTGCCACTGTAAAAATAAATAAATAAACTGAGTGATTCGTTCACACAGGATACCCTAAAGTGTGGGTGTGGGTGTGTTTGCTTCAGGCTAAAATGTGTATATCCAAACGTACTCTCTCTCTCTCTCTCTCTCTCTCTCTCTCTCTCTCTCTCTCTACCTCTCTCTCTCTCTGTTTCCCTCTCTGTATCTACAGTTGTATGCAAAGGTTGGGTACTCCTGGTCACATTGTATGTTTTGTTGATTTACTAGATGAAAATAAGTTAACACATCCTAGGTCATAAACATTATTTTTTTAAAGCATCTATGTATGCAATCATTATTTTGATGCACTATTTCTATTTATTTAATATGCCATAACTTTTTCACAGGCCACATTTTATACTTATACATACATACTACATATTTTTCAATAGGTTAAATTCAACAAACAGTAACTGTGCATTAAAATGTGCACGTGTGTTCTCTGTAGAGGATGTGTTAACCTATTTTTACTTAAAATCAACAAAACGTCAATTGACCAGGGGTGCCCAAACTTTTGTATACGGCTATATCTGTCTCTCTCTATAGGCCCAGCCATACCAAGCCGCCGAGGCAGAATTAGTGCCAACTAAGGCAGACAGATGATCTCCTTCCATCAGCTTATCATCTCGAGTGAAATTTTACACTCAAACACAGAGCAAACTCTACAGCCGACAGCCCACATGCATGCACTTAATGCACCTGCACGAAAGGGAACATGTCTCTACAGCAGGAGAGACAGTAGACTGTTACAAATGAAGTAAAGAATATACTAATAAATTGTCTGACAAGCTTCAAATGACGGTGTTTAAGCTAAAACCAGAGAGTGAAAGTGACAGTAAAACACTGCTAGCTCAGCACTAAAATAAAATCTCATACCTCCAGCAAAAAAGGCTACTTGAAAGTGAATGTTTGTAGATTAAGAAGTGAATTTAAATGCGTGATTGGCGCATTTTCATAATTATGATAAACAGTGTGACATCCGACATTCGGCTCGGTGTGTCAGAACCCTGTCTCTCTCTTTCTCTCTGTCTCTCAGTGAGGATGGATCTTGTTTGGGTTCTGGATCCCTTCACAGACCATTAAAAAAAAACAGGGGAGCAGGCGCGTGATCTCACAGACGCCAGCCACACTGGGTGTGTGTGTTGTTGAGGGGAGAGTTGCTGGGCTACATAATCAGAGCAGAGAGGCCGGGGCGGTCTGCCCAGGAGAAAATTTGTGATCTCTGATTTCTTATCTTAGTTACTTTGGACTAGAACTTCATAACTTGCCTCTAAATTTGAGCTTAAAATGTCTAGACTACATTTCCCATTAGATGAAATTAGACATTTATGTATGCAATATTGCGGAACTGTGCGAGGTTCTGAACTAAATTCACCTTTCTTCTTTCAAATCTAAGCAACTCTTCAAAGACATGTCCCTCAGTCACTGACAATGTGTGTGTCATTTACTTAAAGGGCCCACATCATGAAAAAACAAATTTTTCTCACTTTTTTTAATTTAAGAACAGTTTTCAAAAGTTTTAACATATTTTGTTCAGTCCATACAGTCTATACATGAAAATCAAGCTGCATTTTAAATTCATGTTTCTGTGATGTCACGAAAACCTATAAATGTACACACATCCACTTATTCAGCCTACAGTAGTTTACACCCATTCATATAGAAGTTATAAGGGGTCAGTCTCAAACGCACAGTAATAAAAACAGCCTGTTTAATTATATGGATAAAAAGAGGTTGGAAAATGGTGATGTAAAAATACATTAATTTAATAAAATTATTTTTAGTATATGAAACCATTAAAATGTCAAAAGTGGAGAAAAAATAATAAAACAGAAAAAAGTAGGATATGGACCCTTTAAAGTGTTCTATAATGTTCATATGATATTCATGGCCAATTTGATAAACTGCAGTACCCTACAGGAAGCACAGGGGGCGACAAAGCAAGACAAAATCTTAATTACATAATGTATTAACAGTTGATAGAATAATGGATTACAGAAATGATCTATAGTTGCAGCCAGTCTTGTACAGTGACCTTTGGTCTGAGGAAGGTTCTTTATAAATAAACCATTATTATTAGTAGTAGTAGTAGTATTTTTGTTATTATTATTATTATTGCTACTACTAATTATCATTATTACTATTAATGATAATAATTACTTTCTTTCATAAAATGATGTAAACTCACCAGTGTGGAAGTACGGGCTGGTGTAGGGGAAGCCGAAGGGCAGGGCCTGGCCTGGCAGTGCGGGTAAAGGAGGCAGCGCCCCTGGTGGAACATACTTGGCTTCGCTCTTGCTCAGTCCTGGTGCGAAGAGATGGTGGCTGGGTGAATCTGGCCCAGCAGAGCTACAGGGAGCGCTGAGCCTGCCTGACCCCTCCCCGAGTTCCTTCAGCCCCTCTCCATGCTTGCCACTATCCTTGCCCTGACATGTCTCAGAGTTGAGGCTGTGCCCGTCAACTTTAGCCGTCCCCTCCGGCCGCTCCTCTCCAGCCTCTGTGTCGCTCTCCGAGTCTTTCATGTCATCATCCTGTCCCTCTGCCTCCCCATCCCGCGCCCTCACCTCTCCCAGCACCTCCTTGGCCTCAGACGGGCCACCCCCTTGATCCCCCTGCAGTGGACCCCCTTTCCTCGAGCTCTTGCAGCTGCTGGACTCTTTGTAGGAGGTGCTGGCTGCTGCCCCCTGGTGGTTGAGCGACAGCAGCGGTGTGTTGTTGTGGCGCAGGACCAGCATGGCGTTGCGGCGGTTGATCTCGTCCCGTAGCGGGTGGCCTTCGGGGATGTCCTGCAGGCTGCGCAGGGCCGGGTGCTCAGCTGGCAGGCCGGGGTGCAGGCCCAGCGGGTCAGCCAGCAGGCGCTGCCGGTGTAGGTTCTCCAGTTCCTTCTGCCTTAGCAGCTCAGCGGACATCTCCAACCTGCAGAACGAATATCAGGAAACCTCATATCTCTGACATGTTAACTTTACGAGAGAAGAAAAATAGTGCTTTTAACATCAGTGTAACAAGATAATCCTGGTTCATATAAAAAGCATTTTTAAGAAGCACTTCTATCCCCAAAAAGGTAACTTTATATAGAAAAAATGTTTTAACATTTGATTATTTTAATACGATTTCATTACAAGCATTTTTGGACCATTTCTGTTTCATTCATCATGGAATGTTCGCAAAATGCAAAACTGCTGTTTCCAAATGGGGTAAAAAACCCTGAGATATCTACATTTGCTAATCTCCTTTAGCTCAATCTCAGTGTTACTAAACTGGGGAAACTGCAACAAATGCCACAACAGGGTGAGCAATAAAGCGCATTTGTTGATATTGTGTGGTTTATAGTGCTGAATGATGCACACAGTCCACTAATAATGCAATACCTGGCGAGGTTCTGTTTGCGAAGCATCTCCTGCTGACGCGCAAACATCTCGGCCTGAGCAGGCTGCAGGAAACCGTATGCTATAGTGAATAAGCAGAAAGAACATCGCATTCACCCCATGGGTCACTCAGAGATCATTTCATACCTTTAGATGTGGGCAGTATGGCAAAAAATAAAAAAATGACATTTGCAGATATTTTCAGAATACATAATACATATTCCAGTGTTTTTATTGTAGTTTTCTAAGCCTAGCATGAAAAGTTGCAAACACAATCAAACTAACAATAAAGCAATGCCCCACATCATATATTCTCACAAGGTTTTAATGAAAGCAACATACAACCTTGAAACAGTCTATACGAGAACACTAGAGGTTGATGGTAGAATGACCCACTCCAAATATAATGTGCAATATTCTTCATAATTTATGCAAACCAACATTCCAGTGAGTCATATGCTGACACATGCATGGTGGAAACATTATGTGCATAGTATGGCTTTAGCCTCCCTCTGAATCATACATGAACTCTTAGCTGAGTGCTGTTGAGCGACTGGTCACTAAGGCAGGATGACTGCGAGTCTTACCTGGCGTTTGGCAGAGTGCGGAGGGCATGCCCAGGAAGGGCGGCCGCAAGTGAGGGCCCAGCGTGATATGAGGGGCGTTCTGAGGTGACAGCAATGGAGGAGGGTGGGACATCTCTCTGTGTGAACATAAAAACACATCCAGTTAACTAGAACAGATACACATGTTTGGTGTCTTTAGTTTTGCACTAGAGCTACAAGGCTAATGTAGCTAACAAGTAATGGAAGCTTATGACAAACATTAGCATTTATCAAACTGCACAAACTGCCTCAGACTGCATCAAGTTAAAGTAATCTCATACAGACCTGTTAATCTAGTTTCTGATGCTGTATCACACACTGTTATCTATAAAAACAGACAAACGTACCTTGCATAGCTAAAAATATTAGCGACAGCCATCTTTAAGGCAGAATTCTATCCATATTTTTGTCCATTTTTGCTCAGTCAGTCAAACACATCTGGGCTAATTAACTACATGAACCCTGCCGCTAGAGGAGTTACACCATGTGCACATTCCCCTTCGGCAGGAGTGAAATCATTTTATCAATTACATCATGTTAAACCAGAGCTCTCTGTGCTACTGGGTTTTCTATCACTATATGAAATATGCACAAGCCTTTTTTTATTGTTGGATGAACTGTGTTCTGCAGGCGCAGAACAGAATTGAGAGTGGCAAACACTTAATACTGATTTCTTTAATCAGAGTTATAATAAATAGTGACTGATGTGTGACTTGTATTCCTGTTTGTGTTTTCTTGTTCAAAAAAAAGTTGAATTTTAGCTGTGTCAGATCGTGTTCTTCATATCAGCAGTTCTACTAGGATAGTAAGTGTAATTGCACCCCTATATTAGATCCTTGCTCATCTGCTAGTTTTCTCTGAAGCTCTCACTCACCTGCCTATACAAGAGACAGGGCCCTGTTCTATGACGCTACAGATAACTACAGCTAAGCAAGCACAGCATGGTTGTGAATTGTGGTCGATTGGCACATATTTCATTCCGATGGCGCTTAATAATGCCTTCCCTTTTTAAACCACTTTTTTTAGATTTGGCTGCAGCAGATTTAATAAACTGACAAAAAGTACATTTTTTTACGTACTAAGTAGACATATAGCTTCTGAGATTTTTTCCCTCTCCTGCAGACCCCCAGCTGAGAAGCGTATCACTTTGTTAATGGAAAAGAGTGGATAAAACGGCAGGAATGGGTTACCTACATTTGGTGTGATGGTAAAATTGTGTAAATTTGATTTTTCACTGAACTATCACTTTAAAGCTCAACGGAAGCAGAGAGCTGAGCGGTCCTGAGATTACCACACTCAGGAGACATTGTTCAAAATCTTTGACATTACCTCTTTAAAGGCTCTGAGTGCATCATACTTTAAAAAAATCACCCATTTCTCCAGCATGCGGCCTGGTGTGTTTCTGTACAGTGCTTCAGTATTATGCTAATTCTGCTGTGTACTTCCTCGTCGGCTATTTTTATCGCTCCCTCCAGTGCATGCGAGCAGCAATAGCCCCTCATCAGTCCTGTCACGCTGCGGCCAGCGGCACTGTTTGTACCCTGGGCCTTCCCCTCCCTCCTTCCTCCCTTTCTCTCTCGCTCGCCCGCTCTATCCCACCCTCCCTCCCTCCCTCGCCCGCTCGCTCGGCGGCCCTGCCACTCTGGTAATGAGGGCTGAATACACAATAAGAGCATGTCATAGTCTGACAGCTGGGGCGGCCCCTATGCCTTGCCTGGGCTACAGGCTGAAGCACCTCCTAATTAACACAGACCTTCCTCTTCTACCCTCTCACACACACACACACACACACACACACACACACACACTCACACACAGACGCACACACACACACTCACACACAGCCTCCTCTCGCTGCCTCTCTCTGCCTCATTCAGCCAATAAAAGGCAAAGCAGCCCCCCTCCATTTTCCAAAAGGCCCTCAATTATGTTTTTCTCCTTTTGTGCGGCCAGAGAATACGGGGCTGCTCTTATTCAATACTGCATACACCTTTATCGAGCGGCGACGGTGGAAGTGGGGAGAGAGGGAGGGAGAAGGGAGTGCGAGTAGAGAGAGAGAAAGACAGAGATAGATTTTTACTGGGCAAGAAAATATGAAGATGTACTCTCCAGGCCACGTGTAAGGTTGAGGGGACAAACGGTGGGGTGACGGCTGCCAAAGAGTGGCTGAAGTCAGTCTGGGGGATCCTGCAGTGCGCTTTTCTTTTTTTTTAAGCATTTACTGCCCATTAAAAAAATATACAGCCCATCCTTTACAGCCAACACTGCAGCTATTGTTTACATTCACAATGAGCCTCATATATGTATCATACATGCACACTGGGAAAAAATACATTGTTATATTACAGGTTTTGTGCTAAGCACTCTCAAATGGCTCTAATTATTAGGGGTGAGACAGTAATTTATTCTTATTACATTATGATTATCTTTCAAAAGATTCTGCGTTGATCCACAAAACATAACAATTGAATTTTTACATTGCAAAAATGCAAATTTCATGAAGAATGGACCAAAAGAAACAGACCAAAATTACTTGGGGAAAAAAGTCTGGTTCGGTTGACTTACATTAAAAGTAAAGTATGTTTTTTCCTTCTCCTGTAAAGTTACCATTTTGGAGATACAAGGTTTTCTTCAACAGTGATGTGTATCTTGGGAGCCTGAATCGAAATGAACTCAAATTGTGCGGCGCTCATATTCCCCACCCCTACTCACTATCACTAGCAAGAGGACATTTAAAGGGGAATTAAGTAGTTTAATAAGGCACTCTTTAAAAAGACAGTTCTTCAAGGGTTTTTTAGTAAATTGAATGGTTCTATTTAGAACAATGAGTACAATATAAAATCATTTTATGCTTAAATGGTTCTTTGCATGGTACAATTGTTCTTCAGATTGATGTAGAATGTGTTGTATAAGGTTCTGTATAGACCCTTTTTGAAAATGGTTCTATACAGCACCAAAAAGTGTTCTGCTACTGTTACAATGTCAGAACCCTTGATGTTATATAGAACCATTTTCAAAAAGTTTGTGTTCACTTATTTTCACTTAGAAAATCAACAAAACATGCCATTAAAACTGTATTTACAAGAAATTAAACATTATTGCGCTACACTACTTCATTACAGGAAAAAGTAATCACATCACTGTAACGTATTACTTGGTTCCAGGTTACATCCAACATTGGTAATGGGGAATACTTTATCCCCACACCCAAAGAACACCTGTGATTGGTCAGAAGTTGGTGAGAGGTTCATTTGTATATTGCATGCTTCTCTGGCATCAGCCAGCACTACTGTAATGAATAAGGAATGAAATACTGTGCAGCCCCAGTACGAGTACATATGAAAGGTATAGCGCATACATAAAGGTACAGCGTGTACATAAAGGTATACGCACTATGTGCAATATGAAGTCTGCACACATACAGACCCTCGTACACGTATATGCTGTATGAAATCTACACACATAGGCGAGAGAATTGTTGTTGCTTTGTTGTGAGCAGCCCTTGCTCCGGGGGGGAGAGAAGCGGAGCAGCATGGCTGAAAACAAACACAGCAACATCCAAACACAAGGAGGGGAGAAAAAACACCACGAAATGAAGAAAGGGAAAGGAAAAAAAAGGCGCCCGGCTTTTGTTTTGCTCGACACGCGCTCCCATCATGCCTAAACTAAATAGCCCTTGCATGTCATTATCCCTGAAAACAAAAAGAAAATGAAAAAAAAGAAAAAACCTAGAGAAGATAAACAGGGAAGAGGAAAAGAAGGAGAGAAAGAAGCAGGGAGAGGGGGACGCAAACAGTGGGGGAGGGAAGAGAGAGAGAGAGAGGGAGAGAGGGGGAAAAAAATCATTGATCGATCGGGGCCACTGTTGAAATGTTAATGCTAATCGTATAACCGCTTTTCCGCCGGTGCCTTGCGCTTCGGTGGCAGCTCCAATTAATCTCGGGGAAGGCAGCGCGTGACCTTGGGGCGCGGAGCCGGGCGGCCGGCCCAGCCGCGCTTATGTAATTACACTGTGAAGTGTGTAATCACCTGGTCTAATCCCTCAGGCCGCACAATTAGCCCGGGCGGCGCTGGCCGGGGCCTGCCAAGCTCTGCACCCGCCCCGCGCGGCCCCGCAGATGAATAACGGTCAATTAAAGCTGCATGACTGGGGCCGCGAGGCGTCCGCTCGATCGTAATTAGCTGTAATCATGAGGAGACGTGCCCGGCAGACGTGCTTCTCCTTTTATAGGAAGCAATTTGGGAAAAGGAGGAGGCACAGCTTTAACCGCTTTACTCTAGTTCCTAAAGCAGGGGGGGAGAGGGTGGGGGGTGTGGAAGGGGTGCTAAGAGAGGGTGGGGCTGGGAGGAGAGGTGTTTTTGTTGCTGAGACTTTACTCCCTCGCACCTCCTCACACACACATACACACCGGCTGCAGCTCTGTTAGTGCGCTCACAGTTTCCCAGAATGTTCAGTGTTCACTGAGAGTGCACGTAGATTTCCCCATTTAGTTCCTCGTTTAGTACGTTTCTCTCGCCACAGTCAAAATATTAACCCCTTAAACTTCAAAACTCATCAGACTTCCCTTTCTCACTCTTGTAAAAACACGTCATTTTAAAACCCTGTAAATGTTCGCCGTTTGAAAACGCCACCTGCCCTTTGCAATGTGTGAACATTTAATGATGAATGGACCAATAAAAACATTCCAAAATTAAAAGAGAGGAGAAAATGAAGCTCCACTCTTGTTCAGATCTGACAAAATCCACAGGTGTTTCTGTCCATCCTTCCACTGTGAGAAGATGACTCAGCACTACAGGACTGAAAGGATGTGTAGCTGTCAAGAAGCCTTTACTGAGAAATGGAAAGAAAATTTGCACTACAATACCGTCTAAATTTGTAATTTGCGATTACTCGGATTGTGAGAAGCAGGAAATGCAACCAACTTCTAAGACTGAACTTTGGAGATGTGCAAAATTCTTTGAAAAACTGAAAGCAAGTCTCCCGACACTTAATAACTTACTTAATGGCTGCTTTGACTGAAAATTAAATAAACGAATGGTGGTATCTGACTTTTGCAAAGTACTGTAAATATGTGGACAGTTACAATCATGACCGGTGGGATAACACAGTGGCTCTAACTAACTATGTAACTTCATATAGCTTGACGTTGTCTAAAGTTTTGGACATGCTAAAGAAAAAAGGCCCAATAGAAGCTACATGTAACATCAGTCTGCTGCTTCTGTTATTTTTTTTGCTTGTTTGTTTTTTTTCTTACGTAATTGGGTCTAATCGATTGCACTGATGCAACTCTGGTCACAGTTGTCACCAAGAACAAAAAATCATCCAGTAGCTTTTCTAAAACCATTTCTAAAAAACGCATTCATTGTCATGTGGTTGTCCAAGCAGTATAAATGTATGTAATAGCATAGCAGGGAAACATTTAAATGGGTTAATAACTGAACAATTAGCCTGGAGTTGAAGGGGTTAATGAACTATGCTTAGCAGTTCTGTACTGTCCTAAAAAAAGCGAGCCAGGATGTTTTAGTAGGGCACGTTTTAGAGCAGCATATCCCTGCACTGTCCAGTTTCCTTGTTATTTCATTCTACTTCACAGAGACTCTCTCTCGCTCTCTCTCTCTCTCTCTCTCTCTCTCTCTCTCGCTCGCTCTCTAAACCTCAGGCTGTTCCCTCATGTGTGACGACCTGTCAGAGTGGCGGCGCCGTCGCTCCCTGCCTGAGAGCAGCAGCAGAGAGGGAAGCGTGTGTGCATGTGTGTGTGTGTGTGTGTGTGTGTGTGTGTGTGAGTGTGAGTGCGTGTGAGTGCGTGTGTGTGCGCCAAACTGGCCAGGCCGGAGCGAGATGAGAGAGGAGTGGAGCGGAGCTGACAGGACGGCCCTTAATGAGGGGAGCGCGGGGGATTAGCCGCTCTCCGCGCCGCGCCTGCCTCGCCTCGCCTTGCCTCCGCAGGAACACATTTGCACAGGAAGCTCATTAAAATGCATGAGGCTCTCACTCGCTTGCTCGTTCTGCCTGCCCCCCCAAACACGTATCACCCCCCCCACACACACCCCCACCCCCAGACCACTGTCTGTTCCTTTTGCTGCCCCACATGCCAAACACATTAGGATTTGCCTTGCAGATTCTCTAAATGCGATCAGACAAATGGTTGGCCAGGGCTGTAGAGCTATTGATCGCGGTAATGATTTGTTTTTAACAATAGCCACTAATGGGCGTCAGATAATCAATTATGTAGAGTCGATGGAAAGGTGAGCTCGAGGAACGGGCTTTCGGCTCACCCTTTCAGCCTGGCTGGCTCCCAGTCGATGCTTTATGGGGGGCCGGGGCGGGCGGGCGGGCCCTGTCCTTTTTACAATGTCACTCGCAGTCAATGGCAAAACCATGTTGCCCACTCTGCCCTCCAGGAAAGGCCCTGATTGGAGGCAGCCTAAAGGAGGCCATAGACTCATATCATTCACGCTGGCCTAGATTATAGCTAAAGCCAGGGTTAACCAATTAAACATTAGGTTTACTATTCAGTCATTAATCTTACGGCCTATTATCCGCTGTTATGAAGTAACTACAGAAAAACTACTGTGGAGTTGAAGAGTGAAGAAGTCTGGACCAATGGAGCCTTAGCATTTAAGAGGTTAAAGTGACAGTTCAGAGAAATTTACACCAATTACCCCAAATTCAGCCAATCAGCCAAGATAAATTTGGTGTCTGAAGTTGGCATCTTTAGTTTTGCAATGGAGCTATGAGGCTAATGTAGCTTATATGAAGCTTATAACTACCAGTTCACATCACTCAAACTGTGTCAAGTCGTTAAGTGATCTCCAATAAACTTTCTTAGATTGTTTTTGACAATAACATATCGTTACCTTTAAAAAGGCACAAACATATATTGCACTGCTAAAAACAGGGACAGGGCCTAATTTGAGGCCTGAATGTTGTTGGTACTTAGGTAGATCAACAAACTTGCTTAAGAGATTTCTGAAACTGTATAACATAGTGTTACGTATAGACAAAAGTATCAACAAAACTGAGACATTAAACTATGCGCTACCTCTTTTAGCTATGCACGTTTAGGAAATGGTATGTTATACAGGGTCAGAAATCACTTAAGCCAGCTTTTGAGATTACTTAACAACTCATCATGGTCTAAGGCAAGTATATGATGATTCAGACGTGCAGTTTGCACAGTGTTCATTTATGGTATATTAGCCTTACAGCTCTACAGCAAAACTAAAGAAGCAAACTTCATACACCAAACACGCCTCGGCTAATCGACCAAGTTTGGCCTGAGAGAAATTGTGTAAATTAGATTTTTTTGCTGAACGCTTTAAAGGAACAGAGAGCAAGAGAGAGAAAGAAAGAAAGAAAGAAAAAAAAACGAAAAGAAAAAAAACACACAGAACATTACCCCCCTCCTCCCATTCTTTTGCCCCCGACCAAGGAAGCATGCAGGCCTAGTTAACATCAGTGGTCCTGTGTGGCTAATTATGGCGGGTAAGCAGAGCTAAGGGTGGCCGGCCGGCCCGAGCTGCACGCTGAGCTGCCGACAGGGCTCAGCACAGGGCCAGGCGCCGAACAGAACGCAAACGCCCACGCTGCACACCCCCCTCCACCCATCCCGCTTCCTCCCTCCCTCCCTCTTTCCCTCCCGCCTCGCCTCGCCTCGCCTCGCCAGCCCATTATCGATCCTCCGGCTTCCCGCGCCACATAAATAATCGACAAGCAATTACCCGCCCACTCCCGCTGCCTGGGCTTTGTTTGGAGGCGGAGGGGAGCGCCAGGAGCGCCGGGGCCTCGCTGAGAGGGGGGGATTGGGAGGGGGGGCAGCGTGCGGCGCCTGGACGACCAGCTAAGCCCAGAGCCCCATAAATACCTCCTGACAAGATCAAATCGAACAGGGGATGCAAAGGAGTAAAGCCCACTGGCAATCAGATCCCATTAAGGAGATTTTTTCCTTTATTTTTCGTTTCAGCTGCCTCAGCCCCAACACATCCACTCCTCTCTCTTTCTCTCTCCCTCTCTCTCTCTCTCTCTCCCCTTTTTCCCCTCCTTCCCTTTCCTTCAGTGCATAATTCAGATTTCTTCCCTTTTTTTCTCTTCTTCAGCACGTGGTCACCCACTCAAAACGGCCATGCAGTATTCATTAGAGCCGGATGTTGGGTTCATTATTAATGTGAAATATTCATGTTATTTTAAAGCGTAGGGCTTTTTTTCCCCCGTTTCCGTGGTCTTAAAGTGTGCCTGGGAGGTTTTCCCTCCGCGGAGGGGCATTTTACCCCCCCTCACACACACACACACGTACACACACACTGTTCACATCTACTCTATCCCACAATCTGGAGTTGTGAAAGCACATCCATATGTGTGGTTTGATTCCCTCTGGTGTTAGCCAGATCATGAAACGGCTCTGAGAAATAGAGAACAACGCTCACACAACTCAGCCTACTGACCCTAGCTTCGGCATTAGAACAAAAAGCGCTTGTCCATGTATAACACTTACGCACTGCATACGCAATATTAACTTCTAAACTCTACTTTGAACAGGAATTCTACCAGTCTTTCACAATTTCTGCTTAATTAAATCAACGAGACGTAAAAAAAAGTCATCAAGAATGGTTCATTGCAGAGAAATTTATCTGAGTAAAGAAACTTCTTTACAGTGGTGAGGACTGGAACCAGTGGTTGTGATATAGCAAATGTACCCACTTTATTTACTATCTAAAATTATCAATGAACCTTCATGTGGATTAGATTCGTATATGTAGTGTTGATACTGGTTTTCTTTGGGGACTGTTTTGCCTTACAACACCCTATACATTCCTCCCCACCAAAATATGACTGAAAAAAACACTTTCTCGGGCCAAAACAACGTCTTAGGCGTCAGACAGCGTATCCGTAACCATCTGTAACCATTAGTGTAGAATATGTGTGAATCTGTGGTAAAAACTGATGTTGTCAGTGGTAAGACTGCTAGGTTAAGCACTTGAGTTCAAATTTGGTGCTATATTCGCATATTCATGTCTAGAGCCTGACTAATATGAAAACACTGTGATCAGTACTGATAGCAGTTTTAAGGAACTAAATATTATGATAAAAGACAATTTTATATGGGCAAAAATTCTTGTAAGCCCCTGTTGTTGCAGTAACAACAAACTAATGAGAAGAATGCATCGTTAGCCTAGTAACCTTAGCTCGAACATGTGTTGTTGCTGTGTTGATGCTGTGACTTTTACATTTTCATGTTGTGGTCAGACTAACACCCCTACTCACAGAGCAAGCTCCTGACAGGTTGTTGTTTGAAACTATATCACATACTGAATGTGGCTTTCTTAGACATTCATATTCTTACTGATTTTATTGGCCAAACTCAGACCCTAAATATGTGTGCAGGTGTGAAAGTGTTTGTACCTCTCAGTGAAGTGAGCGTCCCTGTGCTGGGGCAGGCCTTGTTTCCGTCGTTGGCTGGATGAGCTGCCCGCAGACGGCAGGTGGGCCTCCATGGCTGCTTGGTTCCTCACAGCACTCATGGCCTCCTGACGCACACGCAACAGTTCTGAGGACACACACAACACGCTGTTAGGATCTGTGTCAGGACCAGTGGTATTCAAACACTCTTCCACAAACACATGTAGAACAGTTGAGCTGCACCTCAAATTAAAAACTTCCATAGTATATAAGCCACTTTAAAGGGCCATTCTGACCACAGTGAAAATTTAACCATCACTACATCTGCTGTAAACATGCCTATGCACATCTTCTAGCAGTAGTGTCTATAGTGAAATGCCAGTTTAAAGACGAAGAAAACCCCTTTGCATGATCTTGAAGGTGGGAGGAACTTTTGAAAGAACTACAACTCCTTTGGGGTGTGTTTTGGGGGGCTGTTTTGACTTTTTTTTTGGAAATGGAGAAGGAAATCAGACACCTAACATTACTGCTGGGAAGCTGAGAAGGACAACAAGGAATAGCCAAAGTAGCTACTTCGCTATGTAGATACCTTACCTCAGTTTGGTTTAATTTTTATCTGAAAGCATCAAAAAACTTTCTAGTGTCTATTTAATGCAGAACAAAGACAGAATAAAATGACATTTTCTTTACAATTTTGTTCGACGACTGAGGTAAAAGTTCCACTAATGCTAGCTTTGTTGTATTTATTAGCCTATAGACCAGGCTAATGGTCAGAATTGCTGGACACTACAGGGATTCCCAGTGGTTATATTATGTATGTGAAAGGCATGCTGGGTAGTGCAGTGAGAGACAATTGATGAACACAACTAATAAAATGGACTGAAATCTGTCAAACCAAGAAGGCTGAGGGACACAATGCTGCGGCACATAATACCGCAATTTTAACACTGTCCACCCCATTCAGAGGAAGGGGAGGAGCCATTAGAAACTGCTGCAAGGTAGCAATGTGTCATTTCCATGTAGTGCAAAACATCTTACAAGTTGGTGGTGCCGTTGGTCTCACAAGTTCAGCTGATGGGTCATCTTCAGCAAACACTATTAAAACTATCTGTGGTTACATGGTTTACTCAGTACTAAGGGCAGGAAAAAGGGACTGAGATAACAAAGTCTTTGGTAGCACTACTCACAACAACACAAATATTCACACAGATTCAGAATGTAGCTTGTTTTTTTGGGGGTGACTAGTTAAAGGTGAGCCGTCAACCCCTCTGTATTCTGTAGTAGTGCTGCTTCTAGCCTCTGTCCTCTCTGTCTCTTATAGCAGGCTGGCCAAGCCCATCTCCCATCATTACCAAACTAACAGGGTCACAACAGGAAGCACACAATCTAATGAAAGGGTGTTAAATAGAAAATCCATCCTGTGTGCCTCCCTCTCTCCCTCCCTCCTTCTTTCTCTCTCCTCCGGCCCTTTTTTAATTAGACAGTTCCCGTGGGAGCTAGCGGCCATTTCCGAGGCCCGCGTGTGGGGCTGAGCGATCGGGCCGGGGGTGGCGCGACAGATATTAATGTGCACAGGCCCGCTGTATTGATCTGTTTATTGCACTTCCCCGCGGGGGACCGGACCGACGGCAGACAAGCCCTCTAACAGCCAGAGAGACGGAGAGAGAGAGCGAGAGAGTGAGAAAGAGGCCGAAACGAGACAGAGTTTCAGGACAGAGATAGAAAATTATTATATTGGAACAGCAAACTTGAGAAAACTTGAAGCCAACACATCTTTCTTCCCCCATTAAAGGGAACAAATTGGGTGAAACAACAAATTTACGCATTTTTCTCCTCACCGCAAATGTAGTTAATCAGCCAAGACAAGTTTGCTTTGTTTTGCACGGGAGCTAATGTGGCTAACAAGTAATGGACGCTTTTACCAAGCAGCGTTGTGCAAAATTAAAGCCGAACTGATCCCACACTTGTGTTGAGTAATCTCAAATAAACTTGCTTATGAAGTTTCTGACAATGTATGACGTACTGTCGTCTGAAAAAATGGACAAAAGTACGTAGCATAGCTGAAAACAGCATTAGCATTCTAGCAGCCATCTTGAAGCCTAAAGTTCATTTGTACTTTTGTCCATTTTTGTAGATAACTGTGCAATCCAGTGTCAGAAACCACATAAGCAAGGCTGTCTGATATTACTTAACAACTTTGCACAGTTTGAGGCACTTGTGCGATGCAGTTTAAACAGTGCTAACTGGTGCATAAACCATTACTTGTTAGCTACATTAGCCTCGTAGCTTCAATCCTCGTAAAATCTGACTTTTTCCCAAACAACACCTTTAACTCATGAGATGACTAACACTGTAGAACCTTTAATATGGCTAGAGTGCGCCCAGTTTCATGGTGTGCTCTTACAGAAGAGTATGAAAAAAAAAGGCATGAAATTCAAAGAGGCTCTGACCCGCCTCCCCTCTCCCCTCTCCTCTGCTCTCCCGTGGCAGGCCCTGTCCTGCCTGATGCACACATTTACATTATTCTCTTTCATCTGCAGGAGATCTCGCCGGCGTGGGATCACCTGGGGCTGCGCCCATGAGCAGAGCAGCCGTCCCAACAGCGCACGGCCCATCCATGCCAAAACCTCCAGCAGCCAGGTTCGGGGGACGGGGGGTGGTAAAAAAGAAAGGCGATACGCTCACCTTTCTTCTTCTTTATTCAGCCCCGTAATGTCCACCTACCATCTGAGGGGATCTGTTCCTGAAAAGCACCCCCTCCAACCTCGCATCGTACACGCTTATCCTTTCCTTTGTCGCAGCTGCCTGCTTTGTGCCTGTGCCCTGCTCTTTGTTAGCATTGCTGTGGAATTCTAACTCCTAGCCTCAGGTTTCCTTGTAGGTACACACGGTGCTCCCGCGACAGGATGGGGCAGGGATTTGAAAGGTTGTTTCACACGGCCGCACGCTTCACGTGTGTTCTTTAAGGCTGAGAGCCGGGGGGACGTGGGAGAGGGGCTGTGAGGCTTTGACTTGGAGGACTTGCAGAACTTGTCTTTTCCCACTCTTTCCTCCCTTCTTGCTCCCTACTTCAAGGCTAGCACAGAGGCCTCCTGGTGACCTTGCGGCCGCAGAGAGGGGACCACAACAACTTACACGCTCCACTCCCCCGCAACACACACACAAACATAAACCTCACGCACATACACACGCCCATCCGTGCCTGCTTCCCTCCCAGCCTTTCATTTCAGGGCCTCCTCTTCAAACAGATGAAAGGACGCTCTGCAGGGACTCAGGCAAGAGGGAGCGAAGGAGGAGGAGGAGGAAGGGCAGGAAAGAAAGAGAGAATGTAAAAGCAGGCGAGTGCTGGGGATGTGTGGGACAGGTTTGGGGAAACAGCTGCAGGGGGCCATGGGGGTCAGGTCCATTCCCTGCCACTGTCAAGGGGCCCTTAGTAGGCTATTCACCTTTGCTACGATGCTAGCACCCCTCGACTCCCATACACTGCATACACTGTTACATGGGATGAGGGCAGGAAAGAACACCAAAAGGAACAACAAGAGAATGAAAAGTAAGGGAATTCTGAGAAAAAGAGGAAATTTATACAACTCCTACACCAGTACTGAGACGACCTTCCTCATTAGAACAAACTTAATACTTCTTTGAAGGACAATTCCAATGATTTTTCAAAATTTCTGCATGATTCAATCATTGTGAAGTTGATAAAGTCATTCAGAGCATTTATAAAGTGTAGGATTTCGAGAGAAATTTGCCAACTCTGACTTTCTTTACAATGGTGGTGAATGGGACCAGGAGCAATATCTACAACGCAAATATAGCCATTTTATTTACTATCCAAAATAACCAGTGAACCTGTACATGCCCTTGGGCTTTTATATGCAATGTTGATAATACTAAAGTAGTGGTAAATCAGAAAAAATTATATCTTTGGGGACTACTTTGCTTTGCAATACCGGCACGTACCTCTCTGTCATGAATTTTAAAGTTTAAAACAACAGATTTCCAGCCGAAAGCTCATTTAGGAACTATTGTAAAACACTGTCTAAGACATCCTGCAATATATTTGTAACCCTTTTATGTAATAACTTCCTGTGAGGTAACTTTTAGAGGCAGGACATCTGGTTCCTATCACCACCACTGTGAATAATTCTGACTCAGTAAGTTTACCGCATTTTACATCGAATCACTCTGAATTTGACATCTCAGTGATTCAATTATGCAGAAATTTTGAAAAATTTGTGTAATTCCCCCTTAATAATGTGTTTGCGTAAGACAGGGGTTAAAGGCTGGTGCTGCATTCACAAAAATGGTAAAAGAAAAGAGGAAGGAGTCTACACAGAGGAAGGGGAGGAGCTATCAGATGAACCTAGACTCAGTGTTAGAAGAAAGAAGTTAAAGATGAACATTTTTTATTTTAAATTTGGCAGTTATGTGTCGAGGTTTTGTATGCGTGATTCAGTGATGTGAGTTATCACATGATAACTTGGCCTGCAAAATGATCTTAATTTTCTGTTCTGAATCAGTATTCATTGCCCGATGGCCATTCAGGTCATGGCAAAATGTTAAGTAAAAATGAAATAAAAACACAGCTGGCCCACGGATTTGCTGAGATTTTTAATATGGCCCTTTAAGTGGTTGAGTTTGACACCCCTGGTTTAGTGCAAATGTTTGTGTGCTTGATTCGAAACAATATTACTATAAAAAACTTGCTCACTAGATGGTGAAGTACATACTGTGTAGTGAAGGAAAATGCCCAAAATGAGACACAAGGCAAAAAAGAGCGAGGAAAGAGGGAAGAATGTTAAGAAGCAGCTGGAACTTGTGATTCCTTGTTCCTGAGAAGTTTCCCTCCCAAAAAAATCAACAAAAACCACCACTGCATGAGCTATGGCCCTGCAGAGAAAGCAAACAAAATCATAAATTAAAACCTGCTAGCGGGTCGAGTGACACAGAGCGAGAGAGTGTGGAGGAAATTTCTGGGACGGGCGGACAGAGATTAAATTTGCGTCACTAAAAGCGAAAATCTCCAGAGCCTGGAAACGTGATAATTTGGGCCTAAAGTGTGAGACTACAGACTTTTTTGCTGGAGATTTGCGCAGAAAATCTGCATGGGGAGTAACACGAGAGCAAAAACGCAGAACACTCCAGGAAAAAAAGAGGAAAAGGGGGTAAAGAAAGGAAAAACGCTGGGAAAAAAGTTTTCTAGGTGTAGGTACGGTACGAGTGCTGGACGTGAAAAGCGAGAAAGAATATCTTTCCCATCAAAGAGTTGGCAGGCAGAGGTGTTGGCAGCAGCTGACTGGCACGGCCTTATCGCAGGGCTTATGAGCTCAGCGTGCACGGGCAAGCCATCGCGCTCGCATTCCTCCGGGGGGGACGGCTGCTTGGCCTGCAGAGGCTGTTTTCAATGGCACAGCTTATGAAACCGTACACCTGACTTTACCGGCCAAACTGTCCAGGGAGGAACCGACGGCGACGCTGCAAATCACTCTGCCAGTGGCCAGGTCTATCTCTTTCTCCAAATTTGTCTGAATTTGCAGCAAGGAAAGACGGTACGAGTGTAAAGATTTAAGAATGGTATCAAAAAATATGGAAATTTAAAGGGACGTTTTGGCAAAAATGAAAAATGTAACTGTAGTAAACAAACCTACTTGCATCCTAAAGACTAGTGAAAAAACCTTCTGATGATATAATCTGTATGTGGGAGAACCTTTTAAAAAACCAAGGTTGCACTGGGATGGATTTCATTCAATTCCAATGAAGATAATGGACAACTTGAATCTTAGAAATGACTCATCAGATGAGGAGGACAGCAAGTGAAAAGGTAAAGTTAGCAAGGTAGGTACCTGGCTACATAGATACCTTACCTCAGTTCTGCTATTGATTCATCTAAAAAAAAATATTAAAAGATATAGAAAAATGGAACTCCTAGCAACCGTGCAAGACCTGGTAGTAACTCCACTCCTGCTTCAGATCTGAAAAAATCCACAGGTGTTTCTGTCCATCCTTCTACTATGAGAAGAGAACTCAGCACTGAGTCTGAAAGGATGTGAAGCTGACAAGAAGCTTTATTGAGAAAAAGACTAAAAAAGAAGAAAATTTGCAAATTAAACAAAGAAGCTGCTGGCGTTCTCAGGACAATGGACTGACCATCCCAGAGCCCAGAACTCAACATCACTGAATGTGTTTGGGATTACTTGGAACATGAAAAGCAGAAAATCCAACCAACTTCGGGACTTCAGAGATGGGGAAAAACATCCCTGTAGATTTTTTTTTTTAAATCTGAAAGCAAGTCTCCAGATAAGTATGGAAGCTGATAATAAAGATAAAAGGTGGACACACTACATACTGAAAAATGGTAAAGTTAGTTGTTGAGGTGTGTAATTTTCTGGTACGTTTATGATTTTTTAATTATTGGTGTTTTTGAGTGAAAACTAAATGAATGAAGGGTGGACTTTTGTACAGTACTGTATAATGAGATCTCTGTAGAATCCAAACATTTGCAGCACATAAAATATCAAAAATCAAATCAAATCTTCCCCTCAGAGTGGAAAATTCTATCAAATCTAAAAATAGGTGTATCATTACATCCCTAGAAAAGAGAGCGTGCGTCAGGCTCTACAGGCCGTAAAGAGAGAGAGAGAAGCTGGAGGAGCTGTGGGTGGTACGACTAGAGAAGGAGATTTAACAGAATTGGGAAAGGAATCAACAGCGTGTGCGAGTCTGCAATGCGCCACTGTGCACCAACAGAAACCAGGAAACTTCTGGGGGCTGGAGAGCAGAGCTTTGCACTGCTGCTATAAAACACATATACACTCGCACATTCTCTCAGACAGGGGCACTAATTTCTTACAGATGCAGGAGGAAAGCAATTAAAACATTTATAGAGCGCGGCCCTCGAACTGGCAGCCTGCGATTAAAAAGCATTCCTGATCAAATAAAAATTACAGTAATACGCTCTCCCATTCTGCACGGACGCAGGTCTGATTAAATTTGCACTGCTGCGAATAGCCGTAAAAGCCTGCGCCAATTAAAGACACATTCTTTACAGAACAAAGTCAACAAGGTTAATGATGAATACCCCAAATTTAAAGGCTTAATTAAGATGTAACCCGCAAATAAAAAGAGGTCAGAGCTGAATTTTTGTTTATGCCTTTGTTTAACATCCTCCAACCTCCAGCGGCTCCTGTGCGACCCTACAACTGCAATCCGAGGGGGCAGGAAAAAACGAGCCCACTTGTCGTTTCCATGGTATTGGTAATTTAGAGGGTTGGCTCGCAGCCAATCAAAGAGAACAAATCAATATACAGCAAACCTCAGGGCCCAATGGCAGCATTATTTACTACAGTGTGCAGCGGCAGTCGCAGATCACTCACACTGACATTCTGACATTGGGTGGGCTGGGGGGCTGGAAATAGAATTGTCAGCAATCTCTGCCATGGAGCTCTGCTGGCTGAAGCAAGGTCTACAAGAGTCCGAGCCAAGGTTAGCCAGTATATGGTCAGCCTTTCGCTTTATAGATATCATATTGCACTGTTTTATATGGCATTGAGGCGCTATGTATCAGTCGAGGAGTTGAGGACAAACAAATACAAACACACAGACTAATAAACACTCAAAAGTGTTGTAAAAGTAAAGTAAAACTTAATTCAACATATTTTAACCCCTTAACTCCTTAAATGGACAGGACTTACAAACAGCAGCGGGAACAAACTTTTCTTGGCCTCAGAAGCCGCACTAAATAAGTTTTGGTGATTTGGAGGCCTCTCTGGTGGAAATGTGTAAATACATGCAACGTGAATGATTATATTTTGTAACATGGTTTGTATTCAGACCCTTCCTGAGTGGATGAATCTGATAATTACAAGCGTGTTGACAGAGTATTCAAAGAGAACTCAGGCAAAGCTTGGAGGAAGACGTGTCTTTAGAGGACGTGAGAGAATTATCTACTGTTGTCATATCTTTATCAGTACAATGTTGATTTGCATTTGAGACCTATACATCAAGTCGAAGCTTCTTTTTGAGTCTCTTTGTCTTCTGTGTGACATTAATTGATAAAAAACCTATGACGTGGTCTGAAAAACTCCTGAGAAATCCCCCCGACACCTCAGACTTTTCAATTAGACTTTACAGATTGACTTAAAGCACCATAATTTAGCGTATATTTTCTCAGCAATGCTACTTCTTTCATTTTAACAAAAGAAAATCTTATATAGTGCAGCTTTAAGAGTACGTATGTGTTGTTTGCATTTTAGTCCATGTATCTAGTTTGCATTGTAGTCCACAAACTGGATGCATGGACAACGGACCACAAACAGAACAGTCTATCAATTTTACCAACGTCTGCAGTCGGCCACAGATGGTGATTCTTGGAAAAACGAGCACTGTACGCTTGTAGTTGAAATTCAGGCATTGAAATTCAAAATCCAAACTTTATCGGAAACGATAACACTTCACTGAAGGGGGCATTCATAAGACACCTGGATATACTGACATAGACCTACTCAGACATTTTTAAAGACTTATTCCAACAAGCATCAAGCTGTTATAACACTTTCAAAATTAACAGTCACTTGTTGGAATAAGCTTTTATGTTTATGTAGGTTTATGTCAGTTGTCATTACGTGCTTATGTAGGTGTCATGTAGACCTGTGAATGTTGCCCTTCGGTGAAGTGTTATGATGAAAATACACCATTAGTAACATTAGCGTGTGTTCAAAACGCTTTTTTTGGATAAAAATGCCAGGCGCTCCACAGCTATTCCAGTAATGCTATTACCATGGCAACATTTATATGGCCGCATGCTGTCGTCAGCTGTATACCAGCCCCTGCTTACAATTCAGCCATGAGGCATGGAGCAACGATTTATTGAATGGCAACATGTAAACACAGCATTGGGAAGAAATAAACATGGGATTTTAAGGGGTTAAACTCTAATTATTATTCATGGACAGTGGACAGTAATTATGGACAATAGTTTTGAGATGTTTCCCTGCACAGAACAGAAAACCCAGTGACTCAAAGTTCACTTATAATGGAAACCAAGGGGCAGGTGCTAAAGCTTGTGCCCACTGGCTTCTATTATAAGTGTGTTTTGAGTCAACAGACTTTCTGTTCTATGAGTCAAAACTACTGTCCACGGTAATCAACTGTGTGCTACCGTGAGAGACAGAGATTAGGGTGAAAAACCCCAGAGGATTCCTTCACTGTCCAGTCACTATTACGATGTGCTCAAACATAATGAAACTATGTAAAGTCATGAATCGAAATCTGGACCTGCTGATGTGTCCTTTAAAGGGTTCAAAAAATAACTCTGGGCATCAGAGTAACAAGGCACACACACAGTGCAGCACTGGGCAAGCACTCACCATGGCTGGGGACGCCCATGTTGCTGGCGAGCTGATAGAGGCGCTGCTGCTGCTCTTCGTAAGAGCCGTGCTCGTTCAGCGCTGACATCATGCGCCTGTAGTGTTCCTCGGGGGTCATGTGAATGCCTGGCTCCAGCGCAGGGGTGTGTGAGTTCTCTGCAGAAGGGACAGGAGAAGAGATATTACCATCTGAAGGAAACTGCTTCTGTCTCCTAGAACTGTATTTTGAACTGTCTGGAAGGAGAGTGACCGCACTGAGCGGATGACAGGACTCTTTATCCTGTGATGGAGCGGTTCAACCAGAGACGGCACGATAACACATTTTCTCTTTCCATACTGATACTGAAACCTTGAGTATCGGCTGATACTAATACCAATACTTTGTTTTGTTTAAGCTATTTAAGCTGTTTTATATTTAAGCTTAAAATACTTCATTTTATAGCTTAAATATAAAATAGCTTATAGCTATTAAAAGCTATAGAATGAAATATTTTATATAACATTTATATATTTACACAACAAACTACTTCAACATTCTGCTATCCCACCCTCACTACTATCACGCAATTCTATTATGTCATACTGATGTTAAAATGTGACTTTTGAGCTGTTTTTTGTGATATTTTCAGATTTCAAAGTGACCCAGTATTTTGTGCGCTTTGACTGATTCTCTAAACCAGGGGTGTCAAACTCAAACACTAAAAGGGCCATTTAAAAAAATGACAGCAAATCTGTGGATAAAAATAAATAAATAAAGATAAATTGTTATAGGTTTTTAAACTGCCTATTTGCTTGAACTAGACACCAGGCATCTTTTCTTTTTGTGTAACCGCTGGCCTGTAGATTGTTGTTGGGGAAGGGGGTCAGAATGCACACTATGTTGCAGTGCATGCTGGGGACTGTAGTGCATCTCAGGGCGAAACGGGCTGATAAGAAGAGAAAATTAAAATAATTTACCGGGCCATATAGGACTGTGTCATGGGCCTGACTGGGCCCGCAGGCCTTGTGTTTGACACATGGCTCTAAACTAATCATGATGCTCCACAGTGAGCCAAAAACTTGCCTAGTGTTTGGCTATATATCGTCTATAGTGGCACAGCGGCATTGATATACAATAATGGTGATTTTTAGTTACAGCAGTATTGATAAATAACAAAACCTTAATTAACTGCAATGAATGTCATTTGCTAAGAACAATTCAAAAGAACATAAAGCAAAAAACTGTGCACTTTTATGGAAAAAGTAGTTTCTCTCTGGTTAACATTTACAGCGCTGAGTTAGGTTCACTTTGATGTAGGACAACAAAAGAAACAGTCCAATCAAAGCAGGCTATCTGCTATATCAGGTTTATAAGGCATTCTTTCAGCGCACAGTAGAAGTTCATTCGCTTTATTAAGACCAACTCAAATAACACCTGATCTTGTGATTTTATCAATACTGTCCACTAACTTGGCCCATCTTGACCCAAAAAGCTGGGCATGGATGAAGAGACCTTCAGAAGAATGTAAATGTTCCCTGACAGCAGGTGTGGATCATGGAGATAGAGATGATAAACACAGCCATGAAGTGTTCTACTGAAGATAGGGGCAAAGAGAAAACTCTCAGGGCAGCGAGAGAGAATGACTGAAAGCGAGTGAGCGAATGGCAGAGAGCCTACATTATCTGCTCTGTGAATGGGTGAAAGGAGGGATGAGTGAGTGAATTATTAGGTGTGGGTCTGGCGGCAGTCTGCTTCAGACACACAGAAGAGACGGTAATCCGAGACAGAGCCGGGGGGGCGGGTGGAGGAGGGAGGGAGGGAGGAAGAGGAAGAGAAGGAGAGAGGGAGGAAGAGAGAGAGAGAGAGAGAGAGAGAGAGAGAGAGAGAGAGGTGAGGACGAGGAAAAAGGAGGGGGATATTTTTACCCTCCCTCATTGAAAGCTGAGTCTGGCCCCAGGCTGGCGAGAGGGAGTGGGGGGTGTGGGGGGGTACTGAGCCAAACACCGGATAATCCACCCAAGGGCCTTCAGGTGTGTGTGTGTGAGAGAGAGAGAGAGAGATAGAGAGAGCGAGAGAGAGAAAGAGAGGAGTAGAGGAAGACACTTGTACTTTTATTACTGAAGTATAAGGGTCTTAACGTAAAAAAACAAAGGTTCCTGATTGGTTCTTGGATGTATGGTTCTAGAAGAAAATCTTTAACTGAACTGTCCATGCTCCATCCACAAGTGCAATCTTCAAGAGCAACTGTTGTTTAGTTGGATAAGCTTTAGAGAGTTTCCGGTTTAAAATGCCACACTACTGAGCTGAACTGTGTAGTTATAGCTAACCCAAACTACGCAGGTTTGAAATGGCAATGACTCTGTCCCCATGTTAATGTTATCTCCATCACACAGCAAAAACATAGTACGACCTTTCACCGAATATAGTTTCAAGGTTTTATTCCGACAACAGCAATATATAAGAAATCTGCAGGGATATTCTTCCACACCTCCAAAGTTCAGTTGTATTGAATCATATTGAAGTTATATCAATTACTTATCAATCAATTACTATACAGCTACACGTCGTTTTAGATGTTGAGTTGTCTTCTCACAGTGGAAGGATGGACAGAAACACCTGTGGATTTTTTTTTTTTCAGATTTGAGCTTGATCTTCTCCTCTCTCTCAAAGACAAAGGCCTTAAGCACTGCTTATCTGATGGAGACAGATCTTTGACAGTTGTTAGGAGCTCCATTTCCTGTATATATTTAAATCATTTTTGGAAACTACTGTTTGTTAACCTCAGAAATATCTCCTGAAAAAAATTAACTTGTACTTAATGGCTGTTTTAACTGTAGATGAAATAAATTAAGGGTTTTCACTGACTTTTGCACAGCACTGTATTCTTAACAAATACCGAGTTCACTTCAGTTTCTCATTTGGCTGAATTAGATTCTTGCCAAGATTATGTAAAGCTTGTCCAACCTTATAACAGTTGCTACACAGTAAACACATTTGTGGGCGGAGCATGGGCAAGCCAGTTGGTATAGTAACCATAATGTGCAAGTTTTTAAATCTTTGGAAAGTTTTTTTTGCACATCTCATTTACAAAAAAATGGCTTTTTCTGGCACGTGTAGTTTTAAGAATGTATGCACAGGTTTTTTTTTTCAGAATTTGTGAGAATTCATGAGTGTGAATAAAAACAGCAAGTGTTTAACTATGTGTGAATGTTCTGGGGAATAATATACATTTGCATTCACTCGACTGAGGTGCTCTCAGTGTCTAAGGCTGTAGAACAATCACGTAGAACAAAAACGTTTTTTTTTTTTAAACCTTTTTATTTGGGCAATATGTATGCTAAGAGTGTTTGTTATGTCTATGCCGTGGAGCGCGTGAAATGCATTCGCAGTCTTTTTTTGTGTGTGTGGGTTTCTGTGTCTGCCGGCTCCACAGGGGGTCTCGACGAAGCCACAGGATGACTAGGAGTCTGGATCTGCAGTTAAAAATCTGTTTGTATCGCTGCATCTCCCTCCGCTAAGCCTGCTGTAAGCTGGGCTCATTGCAGCTTTTCTGTCTGCTTTACTCATTAAAGGTAATGCCTGATGCGCCAAAATCTGCTGGCCTACGAGGTGTGTGTGTGTGTGTGTGTGTGAGTGCGTGTGGGTGGATGTAAGGTGGGGCCTCAGACAGCGGCAGCTGCTGGGTCCCTTACACACACCCACCCACCCACAAAAGTTGTTTGGGTGGAGCAGCAGATCACAGACACAAGACGTTAGATCAGCAGCGTCCTAAAGCCATCCTAATCCGCAGCGGGTGACCACTGCTCGCCCACTGTAATTCACAACAGCACCGGCGTGCCTGTAACGGCTGCGCGCCCGTCACCCCGCTGCAGTAAGCAGCCGCAGAGTGATGAGTTTGCAGGTAAGGCCTAAAAATAAGGCCGTGAGTAATGACAGCGATGTCTAAAAGCAGACCTGACAACATCCTAATTCTCGGGTGTGGATGTGCCATGTTAAATACAGTTATTCAGCTTCACGGCCCGCAGTCCAAACAGCACGGCCTTTCCCTGTAGGAGTATAATGTATAATGTTAAAATGAAGCACCTCATTTAATAGTGATGCAACATTTTATTCTGTCTATACAGCACCAGTCAGGAACTGGTGGAACTGGTAACTGAGTTTTAGGACTGGCTTTCAAAGGCTACAATGCTGCAATGACCACACTGTGTAATACTGGATTGTTACCCTGGCTGCTCATTACTCAGGCCTACATATACAGTCATGTGCAAAAGTTTGAACACCCACAGTCAAATGACATGTTTTGTTGAATTTCTAAGTGAAATTAAGTTAACACATTCTCTACAGTCCCATGTGTCAAACACAAGGCCTGCGGGCCAAGTCAGGCCCGTGACACACTCCTACTCGGCCCGTGAAATCATTTTAACTTTCTATTGATATTAGCCTAATTCACCATGAGCTGCACTACAATCCCCAACATGCACTGCAACATAATGAGTGTCTATGGGACAGCACCATAAAAAGAAAAGGTGCCAGGCTTAAAAACCTACCATACACTGGGGACAGTTAAAGAGGTTCAACAGTTAAAGTCTATGAAGTCTAAAGATAAAGTCTATTGTTTTGTATAAAACAATTTGTTTTGATTTCAAATTATTTTTGAATAGGTGAAGCATTCAGTGCCTTTTTTTGCTGTTGCAGTTTCGCCATATTCTGAATAAACAATGGGAGTTCGGGTCAAAAATTAGAAACACAGCTGGCCAACAGATTTGTTGAGATTTTTTTTTTAAATGGCCCTTTTAGTGGTTGAGTTTGAAACTCCTGCTCTATAGCGAAAACACTTTAATAAACCATTTTGGCAATTTGTAGTGCATAATTTCTATTTATTTGCTGAACTTAACATACTGTAAAAAATAAACCCTAACATATTAAATGTGCCATGCCACATTTATGTTAGGGTTTATGTTACCAATATATTAAATTCAGCTAATAAACAGCAATTGTGCATTAAAATGTGAAGGATGTGTAACTTATTTTCAGTATTTCCTTGTAAGGGGATGCACTGATATGGGAATTGTGGGTCAATACTGATATTTTTTTTACGTACTGTCTCTCTGTCAATGCTGTTACAAGCAGAAACATTTATAAAATTCTATTAAATAAAATAGAGACAGGGATCTTCCTGAATAAGCTTTATTTTAGGGTTACAAATGCAATACTGTAGTCCAGCACCCCCTAAATGTTTTGCTTTCTCTCTAATTCATCATTAAGTATTGGTATATCACTTAGTACGACTCAAATCTAAACATCTGTCTCTTATTTTTAAAGCAATTATCTGCCGGTGATGATACGATCCCGATATCGTCACACGTCCTTATTTGTAAAGGTATAAAAATTGCACTGATGTATCATGATTCAATGATATTTGTTGAACTATGTGCTCATTTTTTTGGCCAAAATAAAATGGCCTTTAAACATAAAAATGTCAAAACTATATTTTTACAATGTTCTCATTGTCATATTCCACCGCTGTGTAACTAGTGCCTCTTGGTGAGTGTACATTTAATAATAATTCTGAGTTGCTCTAAAACAAGCACATCAAAATGGATTGAATCGAGCTGAAATGTGAGACTTTCTGACTCGTTTCTAAGAGAATCGTGATTGAACTGAATCATTTTTAACTAAATACAAACTATGACAACACACTGGTGATCAAATAGAGGAAATCATCGATGTAGAGCATGGATACCACCCCACCCCCCCCACAGGCAAACACACACATACACACACGCGCACACACTCTGCTCTGCGCTCTCAGTTTGAGCAGCTGACCTAATCGGGGCGGCGGGCGGTAAATCTGATGCTGAGCTGCCAGAGTATCACCCTCCCTCTCACCTCACTGTTGTGCCGCCTTGGCTGTCGGCATGGACACGCATACATGTGTCTCTCAGGGAGAGAGAGAGAGAGACAGAGAGAGAGAGAGAGAGAGAGAGAGAGAGAGAGAGAGAGAGAGAGAGAGAGAGAGATGAAGAGAAAGGGAGCAAGACAGATAAAGAGAGCAAGAGAAAGATAAAGAGAAGCATCAAGAGAGATAGAGACAAAGATAAAGAGAAAGAGATGGAGATAAAGAGAAACAGCACGAGAAAGAGAAAGAAAAAGAGAGCAAGAAAGATAATAAGAGAGAGAAGGAATGAAAAATAGTGAAAAATGGAGACTGAAAGATAAAGAAAACAAGAGAGAGAAATAAAGAGAAAGACAGCAAGAGATAGAAAGAGAAAGAGAGAAATAAAGAGAAAAAATGAGAGAGAAGGAGAGCAAGAGAGAAAAATAAAAAATACGAGATCAGGAGAGATAGAGAGCAAAAGAGATAGAGAGAGAGGGAGAGAGAGAAAGAGAGAGAGAAAGAAAGACAAAAAAGGAGAGATAAAGATACAAAAGGAGAGATAAAGATACAGCGAGAAACAAGGCGACGCTGTAGAGAAAGCAGTAGGAGGAAGAGAACTCATTCTAAATCTGCCCCTAAATAAGGCACAGAGATGTGGGAGTGTCGAGTCGAACACACTAAACAAGTCAGATCTGATCTAGAAATACAGCCCAATGCTGCAGAGTGAACTCAGCCCAGGTGCAGCAGTGACCTCACCAGCTCCGGACTGGGGCATCGACCAAGACAAGCCATATGGCGAAACCTGAAAGGCTACAGACGTTACACTTCAAATAGCTACGGAAGAAGCGGTCATTTCAAATAAATCCTGAAGTCCCAAAAGTGTGTGTGTTTCCAGCAGCCGTGCACTTGTGTGTGCAGTTCCAACCACAGGCCTTTCTTTGGCCTCAGCTCCACTTCCCTTTAATGACTTCCTCCTATCACAGTGGCTCCAGTCCTACTGTACTCTCTGAGCCTGAGCGCCTGAACACAGGTGAAAATGCCTTTTAATTGAAGAAAAACATTCGGCAAACCATGATCCCTTCTAACCTGCCACGTCTGTTTCTCTCACCTCTCGCTCATTGGGAAACAGTCGATAATGATGTATTAACATGCGATGATCTTATGTGGTAGTTTCAGAGCAGCTCCTGCGCTGTACTAACGGTGTGTGGAGGAGACTCTTCTCTGATACAGCAGTAAAAACCTGTGATTTTATTGCAACAAATAAATCTGTATAAACCCACTATGAAACGGTTTAATGAGAAACAGTTTGAAAAGAGTAAAAAATTTTTGTTTATTTTTATTTTTCTACACTATTTGATCACGGTAACTGCCCTTTACACTATGTGAAACTTTCATGATGATTGAGCCAATAGAAATGCTCCAATTACCATTTTGGAGATACTTGTTTTTCTTTGGACAGTGACGATATATATTAACATAACTCTTCAAATGAAAGGCCTTTGCTGGTGAAACGCATTCTAGTTTTGTTGGCTTAAAAAAACAGGCTGTTGGTATTTTTGGTTGTGAGTGTCAAGAACCTTTTCAAGGTAAAAAGAACCTTCACCAATTTAAGGGTTCTTTCAAATTGAAAAAAGGTTCATTCACGCTTACATCTTATTTACAAAAATGGTTCTTCTATGTCAGGTGTTGGCAACCCAAGTGTTAAGAAGAAGTCGTTTTATCCTTTCAACAAAAATTTAATCACCTTGAGAGCCACAACGTTTTATATCAATTTTACCATCTTGGCCCCAGCATATGCTAAAAAATATAAAATAAATGAAAATGCAGACTCACTTTGCTCTGCTTTAAGCTTCAGCTCAGCTATAGCCGCATCTCCGCCAGCTTGTTG